TATCTAAAATTTTAGGGGAGAAAAAAGATAGGGACTTTCTTGGGACTGAGCCCATCCATGCTGAAATAGCACTCAAATAGTCTGACCAGCAGATGTAATCTAAGAAGTCTGCAATAATGTGCCTTTCATCTTACAAATATTCTGTGTTTGTACCTTCCCTACTCTTAAGGTTCACCGTTTCTAATTCTTTGTGTAAGTGTTGCTTTTCTGTTAAAGTAATGATGTTGTACATCCTCAGTAGTCTTAGGAACATCAATGAGACAAATTGCTTGTGCTTATTAAGTGGCTTTGGATCATAAACCTCCAGACCAGAACCAGAAACATATTTTAAAATATTTTTAATGTTACTGTTGTGATCCTATGATAGGGCTTACTGAAATTTTTAGCAGGATAAACAGAGGAGGATCAAAAGTAGAGCAATATGAGTCCATTGATGGACCTGTTAAAAATGTTTCAGTGACAACACCTAGAAATAGTTACAGTAGAAAAAGGTACCTGCAGAGTGTGTTTACAATCTATTTTAGGCTAATTTACTGAAAGAAGATATCACAGCATTATGCAGCTAAGCTTCAGATTGAAAAGAATGGAAAGGACTGTGTTGATCATGGATGAATATGCAAAATARTAACATAGTTTCTTGGAGATGATTAGAGGGTTCTTCAAAGCTTTGTCTATTTCCTCAAATACAAAACCAGTATTTCTATTCTGTAAAAGGTCAAACTACAGCACAAAGTAAAGTAACTTGAATCTTTTTTTCAATTTTCTTGCATGGAATACAGTCTGATTTATGAAGAATTAGAAGGAAGTAACTATAATTTCAGGAGAAAAAAAGAAATTATTATTTATTTCTGTGTACAAATTAAAAGCTACCTAAAGTATCACCAAAAAAGTCATTAATTGTGTGAGCATAGCTTAAGGCTGCTGTAGATATTCACAAGGTAAGTATGGAAATGCTTCTGGTGAAATAGAAAAAAGAACGCTTCCCTGTATCCTTGGTCCTGTATTAGTGTCTGTTTGTACTTTAACCATTTTTTTGATTTCATTTTTCCCCTCCATATTACTCTTGTTGCATTCATAGCATAATTGTTGATGTTTCTCTTGTTTATATAGCATTCCATCTGAAATACCTCACAACAGTTCTTCATACCTGAAGAATTCCCCTTAATTGTACCAATTCTTAATGTTAACCAAAGTATGCTAAACACAGCAGGTTAAAACAAGAAATGAAGGCTACAACTGATACTGTAGAAAAAATCTGTGTAGGCAGAAGTACTCATCACAGATGGGATTCATTCAATATATTGCTGTACTTCTACCACCCACAGAATTCCTATTATCATTTCCTACCAAATAGTTCATTTGCTCTGGAGAAATCTCTGCTGTTGTCTAACAAATAGYTGGAATTGCTATTAGGATATCGGTATTAAATAGTTAAAGGTCATACCAATTTAAAAACAAGTACAGTTACTTTAGCTTTCTGAAGGTCAGATTAAAAAGATTTTCAGTTTGATAACCAGTACTATTTTTGATTTGAAGGAACACTGTCAAACTTTGCCTTTATTACTAAACCTGAAAGTAATCTTTCTGCAAGCATTGAGCATTAAGATACTGTGGTTTAATTGTGCTTTTTTCCCTRCAGTAGATTGTTCTTTTGTTCCAACTGATACTTTTAGAGAAAAGAACATGCTGTCACAGAGGAAGGAAGCAAGTTTCTACATTTTTGCTGAAGCACGTGCTGACATTCCTGATTTGTAAACAGGGAGGGGTTCTGCATTACTTGAATTGCTTTGCGTGTTGACAGCGATGACAGTTCCTATGGGAGAGACAGTACTTTGATCATGTGGGTAGCTGGGTGTGAGGAGGAAATTTGCATTAAATTATTTAAGGATTATGTTGACATGAGAGAACCACAGGAGTGAATGGTCAGGGGAAAATCCTGATTCTATCCCTTTTCTGGAAGAAAAAAAAAGTTTTGCTATAAATAGGATCAGGGAATGGATCCAAATTAAAATAGAAAAACAAATGCTTATTATGTAGGAGAAAACCAGTAGATAATTATTAAAAACTGATTGATCACAAGTTGATTCACAATTGCAGCAATGCCACTACGAGAAGCAATGTAATGTGGTGTAGGAATGGAAAATCCACAGGCTGCTGAGCTGCCAAAGTACTCAGCCAGCTAAACCACAGTCAGAGAAATCACAGTTAATTTGGCAGAGTTTAATTAAAACTTCTAAAGAATCCATTCTTGTGGTGGTCAGCTCATTTTGAGCTAGGGAAGAGTCATTCTCTTCAAGCAGATTGCCTGCAGCAATGCAGCAGAATACAGGAAATTCTTGTTTTAAAAATTCTCCATGAATTAGCAAATCAAAATCACATGACTTTTCTTAAAGAGAATATGAGCTGTTAAATGTCAGTTGCTAAAGGTCATGCAATTTTAGTATGAAGAGCTTGATGTTCAAGAACTATCCTGTAATTTCTTGTTCCTCCATTTACCAAATTGTTAGCCAGCATATTCAATGCCTAAGGGAATCTCCTATCTTACTCTTCTTTCCTTCCTCGTAGCTTCACAGATTTCCGTGAATGAAACAATAGAGATTTCAGGAGTTGATTTCCTCACTTAGTTTCATTGCAGCCATCTGGAGGTGATGTCACATATAGTCATTTGTGTCTAACTGACTGCCACCTGAGTTTCTTTTCCTTGGGGACTGGAAGTACACATCTACACACCAGCTCTGTGTCAGGGGCTATTTGGACTTTAGCCTGTTTTGCTATCGTGATTCAGATAGAGACGAAACTCGTTCAGCTCTTGTAGTCACTTTAGATCATTTCCTGCAACTTTATTCATCCTCGCTCCTAATGTGAACACCCAATAGGATTTTGTTCCCCAAGTTAGCCATTAAAGAGGTTAGATAGGTTGGGCTCTGTGACGCATGTTTGTTTGGCTCTGACTATTTTTTGCTGCTTCTCCAGCGTATTAGAGTATTACTACTCTATTAGCATGCACAAGATATAGCTCTAAGTCTTGAAAAGGCTCTAGAAATTCCAGAGTTCTAGAGGAATCATCCTAGCGATAAACCAGATGCAACATGGAGGGGCAAACCTAAAAGTATTGGTATGATAAGAAAACACCATGTAGCAGACAGCATGATGAAATATTATGAATATTTCATTACTAATAGAACATGATTTGTGATTCTTCATGTTCAATATTTATTCTTTTAAAAAAAGACACATCATAGCAAAACTTGGTCAGGGTGATAACTGCAGTAASTGGACTTTCAACCTTTGCAGAAGAGGATTGTGTCATTCCACTAGCATTGTAAATGGTCAGTTTTGGTCATTGCCAATGTCTTATCTCAGGCAAGAAATTAGGCACAAAAAAAAAAATGTGTAATCCTTCCCCCTTAAAGATGTCAGCAGTGTAAAGACAGCAGCTAAATACACACAGTATGTATTTATCAACCAGCAGCAAACCTTTGCTCACCAGTGTCTCACTGAGCTGTGATGATCRTTACCTTTATGATGCCAGTGCTGCAAAGAAAGCTCCTGATTCCTTCCTCCACTGCTCACGGTAAATGAAAAATTGTGCTTTTCCTGTTACCTTGATTACTTTATTGCCTTTTACACTGTCTAGCGTGCTTGAGCAGTGAGGAACTTCAAGTATGTTGATAGTGATACAGCAGTCTTTGGCTGGGCTGACCTCTGATTCTGAATGAAGCTGTAGTATAAACCTGACAGCAACTGAATGTTAATTGCCTTCCTCTGTGTCCTATTCAAGTGGAAAAAATATATTGAAAGGAGGAATATTCTGAAGTTTTCATACAAATTTGCCACAAAAATGCAATTTTGCATGAAAATATTAAAAAATATAAAAACTTACAAAAATGCAAATGGAAACAATTCAGGTGCAGATAGCATTAATTAAGACTTGCATGTTTTCATAATCCAGACAAGGTTGCCCACATCTGCTTTTTTTCCTCTGTTAGAAAATTTGGGAAGCCAATACAGATATCAAAGGAGCATTAAGAGTTGAAGTAGGTTAAGTTTTATCTAAAATTGCTGTTAATTGTGTTCCTATGGCACTTTAACAGAAGCTTTTCACCTGTTTTTCCACTAATGTCMAAGGGATAAGAGAGCATGTTGATGTAACTCAGTTGCAGTGCCCTGGGCTGTAACTTAGATCAAGCAAATCCTATAACAATTTTTTTTTTCCTAGCTCCTGTAATTGAAAGTTGCTAAAAGCAGGTCATTTGAAATAAGTGTAGGATCTTAGCCCMGTGATGATAAATTTGCATCACAAATGTAAATCTCAGTAATTGGCATAAATTTTCCATCTGAACCCTTTATTAGCTCTACCACAACTGCGACCCACCCTGTAATAACCACTAGCTAGCATGTGTCATCTGACACTCCATTTTCTTCTACTTGTATTTTCTGTTCTCTTCTTCTGGAGGCACTCGGTTRTATTGTGAAGAAACAAACAATGCGTTCCTTGTACCTCTCACTCATTCATTCTGAATTGGAAAAAAAAATAGCAAGAACAGATAAAGAGGGAAAAAAAAAACATCTCTCATTTAGCTGATTCTATCCTTACCAGCTCTTTTCTAAGATATACCAAGAAAAGATGCAGAAAGATGGAAAACTGAAGCAGATGGAAAAATGTCAAGAATCTACAGGAGTTATCATCTTTCCAAATTAAGTGATTAATATTATATRTGCCTCTGCCTTTTGTTTTGCCTTTATATTGAAACAACTGTTTGTTGTTTTTTTTTTTTTTAAATGGACCCAACCCATGTCAGTATTAATGCTCAACAGCTTTCGGATCAAAAAGTGATGTGATGAGGAATCTCCATGTACTGATAGTAGGTACATATCTTAAGTATAATTAAGAGTGCAGATGCGGAAGAAACTAAAGGCAACGCAGTGTTGGAACGTTTACCATGTCGTCAGCAAGCAAGGTGATTGAGTTCTTGACTATGCAAATACACAAGATTTAAGTTATGGCCAGATTCTTCAGTTTGAGAGACTGTAATCCAAGACTTTACCAAGCTGGAAGGTTYAGAATGTTTCAGAAGTTAAAAAGACACACGTAAGCATGAAGTCATTACAATGACTTAAGCATCTTAATCTTCTATAAAACAGATTAGGCTAAATTTAAACAAATGATGACATGCAGTAAAATTTTGGGCTTATGCCTTATGCACGCTTAGTATGCATAGTCAGTATGTACACACCTAAAAACTGACTTCTGTAAGACAGAAAAATTCTTCAAAAGCATAAAGTTAAAATAAATCATTTTTGTAGCCTAAAATATTGCACTGCAAGATGATAAAGCCGTCAAAGCTTTATCCCACATTTTGCATAATCTTAACTGGCCTTTTTTAAAAAAGTGGTTCTAGACAAAATAGAAACTCTAAGGCTTCACCTTTTTATGTAAAATGTTCGTTAATTGTATTAAAAATTAGTTTCAGAAATTTGGTCTTTTTTAAAGTATTATTGTGGGAGTTTAACACTGAACTAGAAAGAACTGTGTAGAATAAAAATCGCATATTCTAAACATCAGATTTTAAAATACACTCCAGAATACATTGTTCAACGTGTTTAATTCTGTCTTACTCCATAGCTTTATTCTTTCTGCAAGGATAGCAGATGGACTAGGAACAGTTCTAGAATTATATTAACATCCCTATGGTGGTAACTTGCTTCATTTACAGCAAAGATGATGAATCACCAAGCTCATACTCCCAAGAAAAGAAATCTTTAATGATGGCCGGCACCAGAGGGCTCTGAAACAAAGACATGATTTAGACTGTTCACACAATAGAGGCAAAACCAAACAAAACTTCAAAATCAACTCAGGAATATAGTTCAGAACCTAAATGAGTCCACTGCATCTAAGAACTGGAAGATTTAACTGTTCCGTCCCCCATCAAGTCCACCCATGTTACATTTAGCTGACACATTAAGAGTCCTTTTTCCTAAGTTTGAAAATTTTGTTAGGGGCAAACTTCAACCCTTCACCCATTTTGGTATAGATATTTCTAAATTAAAGATTATTTATATTATTAATAGTTATTATACATTATTTCCTTAAGCATATTGGAAACTTCCTTAGAAATTCAAACTTATTTGTTTCTTGGCAGCTAAAACAATAGTTACTCTTAAAATTTATCCCACCTAACAAACTTTATTTTTTTGGGGGGGTAGATGGAGTTCCTTAAAGGTTTCTACAGCCCCTCCTCCCACATAGATAAAAACATGCGATTTCCATACCGCCCCTAAAACCTAAAAAAAAAAAAAAAAAAAAGAGAGGTAGCATCAATTTATATTCACACATGTCTTCAGGTAATGCCACCAATAAATACAGCCAGAAGCATGTATTTTGAAGTCATGTTTAAATGTTTTCTAAATCATTACCTAAATTTCAAACTTACTTAAATATATTGGGCTATTGTAATGCACTCATTAAGGGGGGGGGAAAAAAAAACATGACTTTCAATACTTACTATCTGCCACGGCTTTTTTGCCTGAAAGAAAAAAAACAAGTTGAATGTATTCTCTATTTACATTTTACAGTTGAAGTTAGTAATGATTTGTTAAGTATGAAAAAGTGCACAAAATATACTTTTTATAGTTCATATCCTCCTTTCTTTTTTAAAATTGCATATTAATTAAATAGGACTTCATGTATTTAGTACTGAGACTCTTACAGAGTAAAAGTGGTTTTCCCTAGAMTATATACTTATAGATTACTATTAGAATATATACCATACATTAGTACAATATATGGATACATGCACAATATATGAATGTAAATCTAGGTGGTAAGAACACAGATCACTTTAAAATCTGCCATTATAATTTATATACCATGCTATACACACCCATTTTTCTTACTTTCTTGAAAGACTGAGTGATAAGACAGATATAAGAAATAAATCTTTGCAAGAAGAACAGTCACAAAAGGCTGTACAATCTGCATCCTTGAAAACAATCATTTGAATTCTGAATAAGGCCACGAACAATCTGATTTAACTAATTTGAGCAGAGATTTGGACCTCSAGACCTCCATTTCAACCTAAGTTCTTCTACAATGTAGTGTCCTATATTATTTACATGGAGATTATAATCTACAAAGCAGCATTTGTAATAAAGACGAACAAAGACTTATTTTTTACATGACTATAGTAACTTACCACCATATGAAATTTTGTAATAGACRTAAGCCGTTAATGCTACGCCAACCCATATTTCTTGATAAACCGTAGAGTAGTAGAATTTCATGGCTCTGATTGACTTTGGAATCATGCTCTCAAACATCTGCAAGTTAAAAGAAGTTTTCCAGTGGTGAATTTTTGAACTATATTCTTACCCATTACACATACATACACATATACTTGGTACGCACATATATATATATATACATACACATATATACATACACATATATACATGTGTATGTGTGTATATATATATGTGTGTATATATATATCTCAGCAGCTTAATGATTTAAATATTCCAGGACCTGCAGGACCATGGTATTTATTCCAAGCAAATTAATGAGAACTCAGAGTTTGCACTACAACTCAGGAGTTAATGCAAGAAAAAAATGAACACATTACAGCTGATGAGARGCTGTGGGGTATTTACCAAGCAGCAAAGCCAGGCCCTATTCTCATCACTCTGTCAGTGACAGTTTTTTTTCATGTTCCTGAAGGACAAAGCCTTTATCCAAACAAATTGGTAGTCCTTAAGCTATCAAGTCTCCTTCCCTTTTTCCTGCATAGCTAAGACTTTTCTCCCAACACAGTGGTTTCTACTAATCATAGGAAAACTTATTAAATAACAATCAGGAATTCTGTATCATCTTTAAAATATGTCCCACAACAATAAGCCTATCAATRTGCTTTATTCCTTGGATCTAGCTTTGGATCAAGTAGAGCAAAGATAATTATTTTAAAAAATATCTAATATAATTTTTCTTTCTTTTGTACAAAACATTCACATACATTCTGTGATTCTGTGTGATTCTATGATTTATGTGACAATACATGGCAGTGCTGTGGGTTATATTACAGTCCACCTTAGCATTTCACCCAACATAATAAAACCCAGAGAAAGCAGCCACATGAACAGAAAAACAAAACGTCTCGGGAAGGAAAAGCGGATTTGCAAACTTCTATGAGATCAAACTCTCACTCATCTTCTATTGCTAAATGCAAAGCATTCCTTGGCTGGCAGCAGCAAAGATGCAAGGGCAATCAATGTCAATACTTTTTGAGAAAAAAAAAAGGAGCTTCCTAAAAAACAAAAGGATCTTAAAGGAAATGAAAATATGAACACAGACTAATTCCCAATTACGCTCACTCTCCCATAGAGAAACATTTTAATCGAAATTATTATCGAGCACAGGGCTTTCCTGTCCCTGCAGCCCCGGGCGAGCAGAGCCGCAGGGCACACCCGCCSATCCGTTAAGGCCTGGGGCTCGCGTGGACACTTTCCCGCAAGGCCACAACGGGCCCCACGGCTGCTCTTTTCTCCCCAGTCCCCCCTGCAGGCAGGCGACATTGGCCTCCTCTCAGCCCTGCGGCTCCTTCCCGCTCCCCCGCGCCGGGCCGGGCCGACCCCGGCCCATTAGCTCCTCCGTAGCGGGTAAGGGCACGGCCTGAGCCCCGCTCCACGCTCGGGACGTCCCCGCCGCTGGGCCGGGACCCGCCGGGACCCACCGTGAATGACGGGTGCGGCGCGGCCAGCGAAGGTCACCGACGAGAAACCGCCTGCGCCGCCGCCGCGGGGCACGCCGGGAGGGGAAACACCAACGAACCGCAGCGCCCCCTCCCGCGCGGGAGGGGAAACGCGCCCGGGGCGCAGCACTGCGCCTGCGCAGAGCCTCCCTCCTCGAGASGCCTCGCCCCGCCCTTGGAGGGCTAACGTCACCCTGTGGGCGGGGAGGGGGCGGTGCCACGAGTGCGTCACGTGCCGGGGCGGGGCCTGGCTAAAGGCGGGAAGGGCAGGGTGGCAGGAGAGGTCGTGGTGGTGGTGCGACGTCGCGTGGCGTCGTGCGTGCCGCCATCATGCTGCGCAAGCTCACCCTGGACCAGATCAACGACTGGTTCACCATCGGCAAGGCCGTGCCCGCCGCCGAGTTCCTGGGCGTCAAGGCGGACGCCCCGCGGAGCCCTCCTGCCCCTGCACTTGCTGCGCAGGAGCCTGTGGGGGCTGTGGAGTGAGTGCGGCTGTTTGTTTGGTGTTTTTAATTATTTTTTAAATTTACTTTCCTAGTTATCCCTTAKCTGAATCATCACTATGGAGTTTACATGTACAAAGTGACTTCTCTGGAGTGCTTTAATGCYGCTGTGCGGATGTGGCAAGACCTATTACCCTTGGCAAACCCTTGGTCTGSTCTCTGGTGTGGAGCTAAGGATGTGTGTCCAGTGCTGTAACCACAAATAAAGGCTCACGAGCAAAAGAACTGCTCACCAGGCAATAGTGCTCTTGCAGAGTGTGCTTTGTGTGCTTAATTATTGAATCAATGTGCAGCAGCTCCAGCTCAGGCAGAGTTTTTTTTTTCTTACAATTCCTGAAGAGTTTCACCTGGTGTTAGCAGTGGTTGGTTTTTTGAGTGGCTCCACAAACTGTATTAAAGTAGACTAGTTACTACACCAGTCAGTGTTCCATACCTGATCGGTAGCTCAGTGCTGCTCTTTTGAGTAGCTACATCTTCCATTTGTACTGCAGTTTGTAAGCACATACATCTACTGATTGGATGTTGCCTGCTGCATAATTCTGTTAATGAGCTTAGGGTGGCAATTTACCATATCTTTATAAAGTAATGCTATGTAAACCATACTATGTAGCTGTATATATATTTTCTTACCTTTTTTTTCTCCTTTTTCCTTTAGTGTTCACTTCTAGCCTACAGTTTGGCAATGGTTAAGCAATATCATGTATGGTAGTTACAAATAACCTCCCTCCACTGTCAGAATGGCAATGGTAGAAGGGAAGTTCAGTTCTGCATACCCTGATCATCCTAGAAATGCTTGTTAGGTTCTTATGAATGTTTAAAAGCCTTCAGTTCATAGCATTCAGTAGCACAGATCCTCCCTAGCTGTAGGTATTCTGAAAATTAGAAAACCAGTGCATTTCCCGTTTAGAGCTAATTTTTAGTGCTAAGTAATGCACTGAACACTTCCCTTTAAAGGATTTTTACATAGAGACCACTTAGATTGTCCCAGGAACCTGCTTCAAAGATGCTTTATGTGAATCCTGGAAAGCAGTGGTGTGATCCTCATTCCTATCTTTGAAGGGTGTTMCCTGTGAATATAGATCCCTTGAATGTTTTACATGCTTTTTCTCAGAATGTAGTAATCTGTGGTGATGTTCTAGGACTCAGCAGGGAGGGTCATGACGCTAATGTCTGTATTGCCTTACTGAAATGCCCAAAGGAAGCAAGCTTGGTATGTGTTAATTCTGGTAATTGGTGTCTGGTAATTCTGGTAAAATAGTCATTACACCAAGCAGTTGCTTTGGGGAAAATTGCTAATACTATTTAATCAATGAAACCTGTGAATTCTCAGAGAAGAACTTGGGCAGGAGTTGCTTGACCTTATTTACATACTCAAATTTTAAACATGGATTCTTTTAAGCACGGATGGTGCCTTTTTGTGCTGCCACCAAATGAAGAAGGTAGGATTTTGTTTCACAGTTCTGGGAGCTTGTGTGCAATGGGGATACCGGCTGCAGAACTTGAAGACTTTTATTGAGACTTTCATTCAGAAAGAATGGCTTATGTTTTATTTGCTGACTTCTCAAGAAAGACATTAAAAAAGAGAAAGCAAAACTTGTTTCCTCTTGTTGAAGTCACTTATAGCATAGTATTCAATTATATTTTTCTCCAGAATTGTTGCTCATTTCTTGAGAAAATCAAATCCAAAGGTATTTGAAACTTGCCAAAAGCTGAAACGACTTAACTGGATCAAAAAGCTCGACCTTTCTCTTAAAGAAACAAATGCATTCACTTCAGCCTCCACAATGATGCATCCTTTTCCAGTGCTTAAGTTTATCTTTTCAAATTAACCACTTCTAATATAGCAGCTTTAGTAATAGAGTTTGTTAGGGAATGGGCATAATTCTCAGAGGAATTTCAGTTTGGAATTTTGATCCTTAAATAGGTTGTTTATTAACTACATGAAAAGAAACTCGGACCCTTAAATTCCTTGTTAAAAATTCTTACTTTTTAAATTAAAACCTTCAAAAGGCTTAAAAGATAAGGAAGATCTAGACAATGTAGTGAAGAGTGCTCTCTTTGATTTCTAGCTTTYGGCAGGTTAACCCTCACTTTTTTTTTCCTTGACTAAAAGCAAACAGCTGTGTTAGCACCTGTGCTAGCACCTGTGCACGTGGGAGGCCTTGTTGTCCTTTGAAATTAGGGCCCTTGTCTCTGTGCCTGGAATGGCTTTTGTGAACCAGTTCCTAAATCAACCCAAGTAACAGCTGGGTGAGCATGAGGAACTCGGAGGTCACATCGTGTTCCTTTAACCCACACCTGAGTTAAAGTTAAAAGCACTTAAACAGTTCTTGGGCAAGAATGTTCAGCTAAGGAGCGGTTACAGCCTGCAGTGACGATACTGCCCTCTGAATGTGAAATACGCGGTGTAGCTAGCAGGAAAAGAGCTGCTCTTAGGCATTTGCACAGTTTTAGGTCGTTTATTTTTTTCTGTAATTGATCCAGTTCGCACTTCATCCTCAAGCTCCCCTGTGAACACTAGAAGTGGATAAAGTGGTTTAGTACCTGTTTCATCATATGCTTAAAAGTAAGCAAGCCTTCTCAAGATTTTTCTTAGTGTTTCATGTAGAATTAACATTAAATTGCTCATCAGTGATGATATCTAGATCTTTGGCACTTTTTTACTTTATCCGTAGCACATAATCTGAGTTCTTCAGATGTAGTTGTTAATGCTTGTTCTTGGGCTCGGAGGACCTCTATTGCTTATATTAAAATGAAATTTATGAAGAGTAAGTTTCTGGATTAGTGTTGAGATCATTGTGCTCTGATCAGAGGTAAATCTGCTTAGCTATCTGTTTCCAGACGTGTCCCAAACTTCCAATCATAGAACTTTGAAGCTCTGCATTTTGGAGGAGGAATGTGTTTTTATTTAACAGGAAAGTGTGGAAGCAGATCTGTTTTAAAATTCATTTAAGTGAATTTCCATTGCAGAAGCATTGCTCGCTTGACCAAATAAGAAGTATTTTCAGGAGGCAACCTTGTGGGTGTTAATTCTCAGTGAAATATTAATTCTGTTCATGGCACTGATACGCTTGCATCCACTGCCCTTCTCTATGGGAAAGTACTTGAAGCATAGCTGCAAGTTGGGAGAGCCCTGTCCGTGTGAGAAATGCTCTTTCAGACATCCCTGCCATCCTGCAGGGATCTGCTTTGGGATTGTTTTGGAATGATTAGTGACAGCTGTGCCCCAGGAGAGCAGGGAGGGAGCTCATGTCAACTCTGAGGGCAGGTTTAAGGAGTGAGTGTTCGGTTTTTTGAAGTTTTGTGTATTGGGCTCATTGAAAGTGGTGGCAGCTGTTAACTTGAAGCWATAAAAAGGCAGTACTTTTTAACTTTATTCTGTTGTAAGCCTGTAGAGACTGATTTGCTCTGGCATTGTTTCTAGCACTTTAGAAAGAATATTACTTTTGAGACCATTTTGCATATTGAATGTTTCCCTGTGCTGTATGAAACTCTTGAACTATAAGCTTGCCAAATGTGTGGGATTTTTTAATAGTATTGTTATTTTTATGAAGATCTGCAGTATTTATTTTGCTCTACTCATTTTGCATTATAACTAAAGTCTTTCTTGAGGTGAGGGATTAAAATATGGGAAGTAAGGAAATTKCTGTTGCTTGGTTGTTCTTTGCCTACTTGCACAACTCCGGATGTTATCCTTGATGTATTGAAAGAAAACATTAGGAAGCTTCATTCCCTTGCGTCCGCAAAATGGTGCCTTCTGCAAGCTGAGTGATGCCACTCCTGTTCTTTTTTTATTCTTTTACAATATAGCAGACTAATAAAGATCTGAAGATGGGATACACAAAAACTTGTTCCCTGTGCTGATGGGAGCCCCCTTGGAAATTCCGTGAGGTTGGCTCACACACTACAGTGTGTGGGGGTTAATATTTTTCTTCTCTAATCATCTGCTGTGAAAATAGCTGCTACCTATCTAGCCAGTCTTGTACAACTCCTAAAACTTTGATTTCTCAGTGAGTGTAAATGCAACAGAAAAACATAACAATTTGTTGATATCCCCGAACTTAAAATGATCAAGTCTTGGCTTCTAGAATGATCTTTTGACTTGCTCTCTAGTAGAAGTACTGTCTGATGCTGAATTTGAGTGCAGAGCCTGGGTCTCAGGGTAACTTCTAATAAATCAAATGAAGTACAACTATTTGTATTTTGAAATAAAAATATTTATGGATTTTCTTCAAGGATAAAGAACTAGTTATYAAATGCAGTTAAAGTGTCTAGAGAAACAATTCTGAACTATAGAAACAGTACATGCGGAATACTATGGCTTCTGAATATATAATAATTCTGAAATTAGGATTCTTGAAGTTGGGGAAACAACAGTTCAAAATATGTTTATCAACTTATTTGCTATCACTGATATTTTAAAGCATTTGTCTTGTACAGTATAAAGTTCCCTTAGAACCTAAAAAACCTATGACAAGTACTAAGCAAAAGATCTTTTCTAACRCTTTGCAAAAAGATCCTATTCCAAGTTATGGACAGCAGTGTCCTTGTTTAAATATATACTCTGTGTGCATACATGTACGTATCTATATATATGTACATATACATACAGGAACACTTTTATTTTTTAGCCATCTAGATAGATATGTGGCTGAAAAATGATGCTCCAGTGTGTTCTTTCCTGCTCTTTTCCCCAGAAATGCCTACAGTACATTTTTTGGTTAAAGGTACCTTTAAACACAACATCTTTAAGGAGCTATAACAATAGGAAGAGGAGGAATATTTCTATTTAAAGCTTGTGGAATGGATACCGGCTAATATCAAGGATATGAACCTCCGAACTGGGCGCAAAGGCGGGAGCGTGTCACGGTTCTCACGTCTGTGGGTGGCGAGCGCAGCGGAGGAACTGAAACAGATGCACAGCTTTGTGGAAGGAACCCGAGCCGCCTTAGCTTGAAGGGTAGTAGTACGGCAGGTTCCAGATCCTGTGGGAGAAGGTGGGAAACATGCTCTGCRTGTTCTTGTCCACGTAACTGGACACTGTGGGGATTTCGTCCTTGTCCGCTGTGTCGCAGGTGTCTCCGCGCGGGCCGACGCGCTCGAGGCCGTTCGTATTCCTCCCGTCTGCTGCTTGCTCTTGGTGGTTTTCCCGCTCGATGGTAGTAAGGAAATCTTTTAGGACTTGCTTGAATATGTAGACTATCTCCCAAGGTAGCACGTTGTTTTCCGCCAGAACCTCACGAAATCTGGAAGCGAACAAGAACTGAAATCTAATTGTCAGGGCTGAAAACTCCCCTACGTGTTAGTCCTCACTCAAMTTGCGGGGGAAGGCGAGGGAGGAGGAAACCACAGCCCTTTGGTCCCACTGATTTCCTGGCTGCTGCRTTTCCCTCGTGTCCCCAGAAGATTATAAACAGGAAAGGGCTCTGACAAGGTGCTGGACGGGCTCCAGCTACAGGGAGACAGGGAAGCTGTTGTTATTGGGTGCATTGCCTTGTGCTTTGCTTATTTATTTATTTATTATCTTCCTCCCTTTCTCCCTCCTTCCCTCCCTTCTCTCCCCAGCCATCTGGGTAACTTGATTTAAACTGACTTTGCCCTTAGGTACATTCTGGGCTTTAAAAGGCACATAGGCTTTTTCTGTCTTTTCTGTTCACCCCTAGAAAAATGTATTTAAAATGCAGGCACTGGAGAATTTTTCTTCATAAGATGGATTTTTATTATTTGAAAACAGTAACCTTTTTAATACTCATTTGGCTTGTTTTATTTTTTTTAGGATTTGTTGTTAGTGAGACCAAGTTTCTGCATAAAACAATGCATTGTATTAATGCCTTCATTTGAGTTTTGCTTATTGAATTAATTGTTCAATAAGTCCTGGGGGTAAATTACAGAGGAAGAAAAGCGAAGTATTAAGAGGCAACATGTTCAAACCCGTGAGACTTCCTTTGCTTTGAGATTAGACCAGGAAAAATGCTTACAAAAAACTTTCCTAGTGTATGACAAAACGCCTGTAAAAATACATACAAATTATTGGTCACACTTTGGAGGAGAGATCAGAGCAAAATGCAAGTTTGAACTAGTTATGAAAAAAAATATTCTGCTTATGATAAAGTACTCGGGGACAGGAATACAAGATTATTACCTGCTGAGAACGGTTCCAGTCTGGCAGGGTTGAATTTGTGAGCAAAGGACTTCGAGCTGCCGCTGCTCAGTGGCTGGAATGGTGGCTTGGGGATTCTGGTAGCTCTTGAGCCAGTTGTAATCCACGCCGGCCTTCTGGACGTGGTGGCCGCTTTCGATCTCTTGCACTAACCTCTCGCGCTCCTTCAGGTGCCACTTCAGTTCCCTCAGCAGGGTTTTGGTCACTACTTCCGATCCTGGATATTGCGTGGATTTGTAGGAATCATTTTTGGGCCATTTCATCCAGCCAAAAAGTGGCATTTTTAAGCTTTGGGGAAAAATAGGTAGTTTGTCACCGAGCCGTCGTAAAATCAGACACTTTATAAATCTGGATACAGTCATAAAATACTTAACGTCTACAACTATCTACTTGGCTAAATAGACCAGAAGGAAGAAAAGTACCTCCCCTCAAAAATATTTTGTCATCTTGATGAAATATAGGGGGTTTAAAAATACATAATTTAAAGTTATTCTTTCATTTTAACAATTATTAAATGAAAGATAAGTGGTGGAATTCCATGTTCAATTCTTTAAAACTTTTGTACCTTCTAATTAAATTTTTTCAACAAACAAAGATGGAATAGGCTTTTACATTGCAGTTAGTTACAAATCACACAGATGCAGCATGCTGATTGGAATAAATAACACAAATTACCTTTGCAGTTGTCTGTGAATAGCGTTTCAGGTGAGTTTGCTTGAAGACCTCTTATTCTGGCATATCCAGTTTCCAGGTTGCTGCTGAAAGCAAAAGAAGTTTTCCCAYTTACTCAAACAATGCTTGTGAAAAATGACTTTCTGTACCGAATATGACAGCTTAAGTTTTTCTACTTTTAAAGTTCTTTTCCATTTTGTTTAGCAGAGAGAAGCAGCAATCCATTTAACCGAATACGGTCTCTCGAATACTTTCCACGAAGTCCATTAAGGTCTCCTACCTCTCAAATGAGTTTTGCTGCTGGCAGCAATTTGAGAAAAGATGGCAACGATTTCGGAGGCTTGTTGCTTAATCCATCCCAAGGTATTGTTGGTAGCGAAACGACTCATGATAGTCTGAAGCAAGTGGAGATGTGCTTCTAGCTAAAGTTGAGGCTGCCGCATGATGTGATGCTCGGCTGTGCATAGCTGTAGGTCACAGTTTAGAGCTGTATTTTTATGCCTGTGGAGTGCTAAAAATAACTACGTTGCTTTTATCTAACTAAACTTCCAGGCCATTCAGATGCTGGAAGACTCCCCATTAGAGGGGGGAATTGGGCTGCTCTGTTCTGTTTTAAATGCTTAGAATAATCTTTCTGTAGTAAAAGATCACCTAAAGCCTGTGTTAACTGAGTGTTTATGGGAAAGGGCTATTTGACAATTGCCTAGGATTATTTTGCTATATTAAATACTTTTTCCAGATATGTTTCATCAGTCTCATGGTACCAGGCTTTTTCCTTATAGAGCATAGCTGCTAGCATTTTTAATTAACATTTCAAATGTGTTTAAAGCAGCCACTCTGCAACACCTACAGGGTGCCATGAAAGAGTCATTAATCTAATTAAAGGAACAGAAGGATAAGGAAATGCAAATTCAGGTCAAAAGGATATTTAAACAAGAAAGCACACACACAAAAAGACCCCCACGACCTGGAAAAAAAACAGCAGAATTTTAAGTCTTACCCAGGAATCTTAAGTCTGTCAACTGCCTGCCCGTTGCCTGTTCGCTCCTTCCTAGATGAGTGTTTTGAGCACATCCCCTTCTAAGGTTCCCTTTCAGGGGTGGCTCTGCCTGTGCTAAAGGTCGCCCGCGCAGCTATTTTCCGTTCCAGTTCTCTGGTCTCTTCCTATTAATCTAGGCGCTGGGCATGGTGTGTGATGTGCCTTCCATCCTGGCCTCTTTCCCTCTAATCACTGTCTGTGCTCCCGTAGGTCTCTCTTTCCTACTTCTTTTCTGCCTCCRTGGGTCTGTGGAGCTGTTGGGAGAAGAAGGGTTCTGTAAATCGGTTCTAGATGTCATACAACATAAAAGATGACGTGTATGGCTGTTGCTGAAGCCAATATTACTTATACATGGGAAAAAATCAAGTGTCAGTATTAATCCTCTTCAGCTGGAAGGTTTTCACATTGCATTGTATATGGTACTATGAAAAAGGAAGGGAACTGGGCTTGTGATGACAAAACTGTCCTGACAGATTTTCAGATGAAATTAAAATGTTCCTTGCCACCTCCTTTACAGCACAGTTATCATGTCATCACTTCTTTTTTTTATTTATTTTTTGATGTATCAGATTGGATTGCATCAGAAAGTTCTGTACAGTATAACCCCATTGTAATGTCTCTGCAAATTAAGGAGATGCACATGGAAAGGTGTGCAAATTAAAGTGAAATGAAAAAACCTGTATCAATATTTTGCTCACCCCATTTTTGCTTACACTGTTATGTCTTCTAACATGGACATGAAGAATGATGTAGAACTCTCCATTGTAGGAGAAGAGGAAAGCCCCAAGTTTGATGCCTTTTTGTATAAGTCAATTTGTTATTTTGGAAGGGATGGCTGCTTATGTCACGTTAATGTGGGAAGTGGAATTTCAAAGCAAAGCGGTGGCTGTTATCCCCTGTTTATTCCAAATGATCTGTGAGGAGTTAGATTTCTTCCTCATTAATGTTAAATGGTTTTGCGGTGCTGTATTGGGACAGAAATTTCAGTTTGACTTCAGCTGACAGTTGGTCCTTTCCTTGAAAGCAACACCCTCCAAACCATAACTCCCTGCCACTGCACGAGAGGAGGTGGTTGGAAATTGGTAGGTTTTCCCCCGATGCTTCTAAGTGTGGTATTCTGTGTTTATAATTTAAAGACTCTTCAACTGACACTTAATGTTTTTGTTTTGCTTGTTCAATATAGTTGATTTTTTCTAATTTTCTAAGGAATACAATTAATTGCTGAAGCATCTGCTACTTGTATTTTCTATAGCTAAGTAATTTTCATAAAATTGCAGTGAACATTACCTTGCATACAGATAAGTAGGCAAGGGTACTTATATGTATTTTTTTGGCTTGTTTGTAACTTGGTGAAAATAACCATTCCTTTCTTTGTAGTGGATTTAGACTTATATTCTGATGTTGCCATCAACTCAAGCTTGGGAAGCCGCAAGAATTGCTGTAGCCACAGTGCAGATKTCCTTCCGTGAATGACTTGGGTCATTCTTGATCAAGTCTTTCCTTGCCTGTTGTGACAGGTTTGGGTTTACCAGAAAAGGAGCTGATTGCAGAGGAACAGTCTTATAAAATCCTGAGAAATCACTGGGTAGTTGAGAAGCAAGCATGGCATCTAGTAGTTAAACTGGATCTCCCCCTGTGGATCCCAGGAAGAGTCTGTGATACCACCTTGCCTGATGACTTCTATAAGATTTGGTGTTTACTGGGGGAAAACCTGTGAAGACCAACTCTGTCTACTCCTAAATAGCTGCTTATAGGAAGAGACTTTTTCTTTCAGTATATAGGGTTTTTTTTTTTTTTGTCCTATGGACTTACTAGGACCAAAAAAATTAATTCCAGAAGCTTAATGTCATCTTTATGCTATTTTTGCCTCCAAACTGAAGTAGATGGGAGATTTGCATCAAACAGCTATTTTTACTTTTTTTAATTAGCTATAAATTCTTCCACTTCACAAAGATTTTTCTCACTCTAGATATGTCATTAGGAAACTATAACCTACTTGGTGACCATGTTAGAGATGGGAAGAGAAAAGAAGGGAGGCTGGGAACTTGCATGAGTCTATAAKCCAGTGTATCGGACACTTATGATTTAGTCTTAATGGGCACTTTGGAATTTGGGGCCATCTCTGGCTTATCTAAGCTGGATTGCGTCAAGTTAATAACTGCATGCTTTGTGTTTGTTTTATTATCGGGCTTTTTTGGTTGTTTGGCCATGTTTCTTGCCAAAAGTGCCCTTGCCAACACTTTACTAATGTTACCAAAAGACCAGAAATAATGCTAGATAGAGGACTTGTACTTTTGATCCAAATTAATGAACACCAACAGCCATCCAGTTTCTGATTCATGCTGAATGATAATAATAGCTTGGGTTTACCGAGCTGACTTTTCATATGTGAAAGCAGAGGGGGAACATTTTTTTTTAAAAAAAATCTAAGTGTTTCATCATGACACTTCTACTTTTTCTGGGTTGTAATCTAGATGGGACAGAATGCAGGAGATCTCAGAGTTACTAGTTTGATGTGGAAAAGATATTAACTATCTTGTGAAATGGATGCAAATCCAAACTTTCTCTCTTGCATTCTTCAAGATGCTGTGGAGTAATTGGGATGCCTTCTCTGTCTTTTCCTGGCTAGTCTTGGTTTTAAAACAGGAGCTGTAACTACTAGGAGGGACAGTACTGCAGACCTTAATAGAGCCTATGTGTGAAGACTTATGTTTGAATCTAGATTTTTAGCACTACGCTACAGGATGTGGGAGAAATGCACTTCTCTGATTCTTGGATTCTTMAAATGATTGGCAAGCCATCTTTGAAAATGGGTAGTTTAATATTTAATGGTTAAGCCTCGCTCTGAATCTTAATAATACTCTGCTTTTTGAGACTGAAATATTAGAGAGTTTTTGAATGACAGTATATGCTTTCTTTCAAGTTAATGGTTTTCTGGAGGTGAGAGCTATCTTCTGAAAGCACTGAATGCCARCTGCCAGTTGAAAGCCGTTTTTAGTACGTCCTTCATAAACCCCATGGAAGGTGATTTACTGTTAYGGCCAATGTTCAGTTATGTAAAGTGTCACATTCCTTTAGTTTCAGAAAGAGGCTATGAAAGATTCTGCTGTATATATTATACTAAAATTGTACAGCAAAATATTGTTCTGTGTGCTATAGAGTTAAGTGTTTTTTCCAGTGATTTTTTTTTTTTTTCCCTCCCTTTCAAGGTCCCCACAGCAGGAGGGAGCTGGTGTGTGTGACAGGAGCTGTGCCTGAGAGCAGAGCTGAGTTCCAAGCTGCAGAGYCCAGGGATGCAGTGTGGATTGGACTCCCACTTCCATGTGTGTGGAGAGTTGATGGTTAAGGAGGAAAAAAACCTATAAGCATTGGAGGAGGTTGTTTTTATTTTTTATTTTTTTAATACTATTCTAAAACACTTGGATTTTCCTTTTTTTTTTTTTTTGGTCTCTAAGAGGAAATGTACTTGAAGTTATTTTGCTTTAATATGAGTCTCTATGTGAAAAATAACYCTGTAAGCTCCCTGGTTTAATAACCATCTTGATATCTGTGGAATGACTCTTAGCATTTTGTCTCTGTAAGTAAGCAGTGTCCTTTTTCAGGGAGTCACTCTGTAACACATCTTTTCAGAAGATTTGTTCTGTTTTTAATCTCCCTTCTAGAGCTGTACATGGCATTCAGTGTGTACACTGAGATTTTGGTGCATCTCACTGAAAAAAACCRAATTTATTTGTCATGATTATGGTAGATACTTGACACTTGTTTCTGTATTTGAGAACTGAGTATTTATAAAACCTTTATTGATAGTAGATTTACTGAGTATATTCTTTTCTATTTTTACTTTTGTCATGGCAGTGCTTGCTTTTTTGAGGTCATCCCATAGCTTCAAGACCTTTCAACTGAATTTGTCTCAAGAAAAGCCCCCTCCACACTTGTAATCAGATGTGTCAGCAGTTTCTGGTGTTAAACTGTGCTCTCTTCTAGTTCCCTTGAAGTGACAGTTGTATTTAATCTTACATACATGACACTGATTTTTTTTTTTTCTTATTAAACTCAAGTAAATACTAAAGATCACAGTCAAACGCTTAAAATCATTTTAACAAAGCTAATCATGTTAGGAATGTTACTGTTCTCCGAGAGAGAGGCGTGGGGGGAGTGGGTGAGGAGGATGAGGCCGGCACTTTCCAGTGCTGGTCACTGATAGGACTAGAGGAAACCACCASAAATTGAAGCATCAAAAGTTCCACAGGAACTTAAGGGAAAATTTCTTGACAGTGAGAGAGGCAGAGCCCTGGCACAGGCTGCCCAGGGAGGTTGTGGAGTCTCCTTCTCTGGAGATCTTCAAACCCTGTGCCATGTGCTCTGGGTGTCCCTGCTGGAGCCGGCGGSGTTGGACTGGATGATTCTTAGAGGTTCATTCCAACCATGACGGTTCTGTGCTGTGGATGGAGGGGATCCTGTGGCCTTTCTGGCTCTGTGGCATCCTGGCCACTGCTCCTCAGGCTCAAAAAGGTGCCATGTTTGCTACTTGGTGCAAGTATTTTCCAAGATAGACAGTTCTTGAGTTGTTGTGTAAACCCTTATAGTAGCTCCTGAGTTGTGCTCTGCATATGTAAGGACTGTCAGGAATTACCCGTTTATCCTAACATTACTGGTTGCTCAAATTTCCTTTACCAGGTTGTGTTCCCAGTGGTTTATAGYCCTGTCGGGTTTTTACCATTTACAGTGGTAGTATCAGATTTCTGACTTCAGCCATGCAAATCTGGCCACTTGTTAGGGTGGAAAGGACTCTTGGTTAGAGGCTCTCAGATTAGTCAGACCATGTTTTTCATGATGAGGAAGAAAGACAAAACAAATCTCACATCTCCCATATTTTTTTTTCCAATTGAAACAACTTGCAGTTTTCAGTTACTGTTTTTGAGTCAAGAGAATACCTTTTCCTGACTCCCAATTGGTRAAACTTGTGGATTATGTTTGTGACAACTGAAAAGTTGTATTTTTTCCCCTATTATAATTTATTTGGGGACTCARAAGACTGAATAAAAGAGGAAAATTAGGGAACAGCCTTGGAGTTAGAGGTGGGCACATACAGGGACATTAAGAATAGCTGAGTGAAAAGACTGAAATCTGGAAAGCCTAAGAAATATATGTTATGGTAAGGCATTTTACTGGAAGAAAGGGGAAAGGTGACAGGGAAGACATAATGTGAATCTATGGGAATGGCATGTGCTCAATAAGGGGAATTGAGGAGAGTCCCTTCATTAGCACTGCCCTCTCCTAGACTGCAGTGGGTTTGAATATTGAGTCCTGTCATTCCTTTGCTGTCAAAAATTGGAAACTCATTAGAAAAATGTCTCTATATAGGCTGATATCCCGTACTGCTGACTGTTAGGGATTGCTTGAAAGGGCTGCATTGTATTAATGACCTACGAGCACCAGAGGGCTTGGTTGTATTTCTTCCTTCCTCTTTTGCTTAAATATATATAAAAAGCTTATAGAATAATTTAAAGCTACAGTTTTCAACATTAACAAATATAGAAATGATGTGATCAATGTTTTTTCTTCATTTCCCAATTTCATATGGTTTTCCTTTGGACTGTAGCCTGAAAATAATAAGCAGTGCTCATTCTTAATGAGTGACAATTAAATATTTTCTTTATTGTGCAGCCACGGTTTTATTTACTGCATTTTTTTATGGAAACAAACCTTCCTCATTTGGGAAGAAAAAACAAAAATCAGTATCTTCTCGTATATCACTGATGGGGTCATGCTGACCTTGTTTTAGTGGTTAAAATATATTGGTAGAGAGATGCTATGTGTTCTTTGAGCCTCCTATAAAATACTTAATATCTGATCCCAAAGAGCATTAAATGGAGTGTATTTCTATTGTATAAAGCTGAATTTTTACTCACTTCAGCTGCAGCATAGATACTGGTGCTGATAGTAAGCACTGCCATGGGGTGCACAGTCCTGCTGTTCTCACCCCTACCTCTGCCCTGCAGGGATTATTTTTATTGGCGTGACTTGCTTGCTGTTGCTCAGGGCTCTGACAGATGAGTAATGCTTATTTTTCTATGACAATATTGGCTTAATCAGATGGGTTATTTTTGCTCTTCTAAGAGATTGAAGGACAAGTTGAATTTACTGCATAATCAGGTTTCATTATCAAAAGATGTGTATTCTGTGTACTTAGTGAGGCCACAGTCAYGGAAATGAAAAATAATTGATCACATCACTAAAATCTGGACAATATGTGCATATGAGTTCTGCAATTTTCAGCTACTGAATAATTGAGTTCATATCTRTGTTTTTAGCTTTTCTTATGTTTAATTCCATTGAATACATATTTGAGAAAGGTTTGAGTGATGGAACTGGCATAGTCTGCTTGTAGTAGGCAGCTGACAATCATTTAGTGGATATGCAGGTATATGGAATCATGTTGAGCTCTGCATTAAGAAATATTTGAGATACAGAGGAAAATCTTATGTCACCATACCTAAAATACTGCCACCACAGATTAATTCACAATGGCTGCTATTTTATTTCTTTTACACTTAAATACTGCATGCATTCAGGATGGTAGTAAATACTTTATTTCCTGGAGGAGGAAAAAGGATGCATCTCAATGAATGGTTTGCAGCAGAGCTCTGCTGCTCTAGGTTTGTCTTGAGGAAAACAGGCATGCTCTGTGACACAGTGCCATGTTAAAAACCTGTCTGCTATTGCTTGTCCCCRTGAGCAATTAAGCTGAAATTTTCCTTACTGTTTGTGTTAGAAATAGTGACTTCTGCAGCAGTGTCCTCTTATGTCTCGAAGACTGAGCCSATGAGAGACTTGTTCTGTATTACATAGTTTTTTGAGTTTTTGCTCAAAAGTGTCTACTTTTTTTAGTTGATATTTTGTTTGAAAAAGAGAAGGTTTTTGATGTGTACATGTCTACAAGCATTTAAGTTCATCTATGATTTGTTAATTATACAGTTACTGTGTGTGTGCGCGCTGCTTTGCTCTCTAGTAAAACCCAGGCAGATTAGTTCACAGTGTTTCCATGGAGAAGAATGTATTTATTATTCCATCTCATCCTGTTATGTCATGGAAAGTCTTTTTGTCTTATGGGTAATGGTATAACTCTGCAYTTCCATTAAATTCTGTGATCTGGGGATTCTGTTAATTTTTCCACTGATCATCCATTATCATTTCTTGATTCAAAGATAAAAGCTCTTATGCAGTGAAGCATTGGGATTTGCTCTTGTCCCTGGGAATCATGCAAGAGTTGCATGTGTATTACAGGTGTGCCAAAAATAATTTCTAAAGTGTTCATTGAAATAAATTCTGCTTGATATGGAGGCCCTGAACTTCCTGATTAATATTCTTTTCCCAGAAATATCCTTGACTCTTGGATTAAGAAGTATTTATCAAACTGTTCTTGTGCTCTTCAGGCTCCCTGTCAAAGGGACTGTTGGAAGTGAATATGTTGAGAAATGCAGACATCTGGAGGAGCAAGAGTCRGACATTATCGACAATGATCAGTTTGCCTCAAAATCAGGTAAATACAGGTTTGGTTCCCCTTATAAACATGTATTTTTCTCTCTCTCCTTACATATCCCTTCCCCAAGCTGTCTGCACATTTGTTCTTTTTCAAGGCTTGGTATAATACAGTAAAAACCTTATTTTCTGTATACCACTGTGTATAATGCTGTTGCATTTAATACATGTGCATACATCTATGATCTATGGTACTGATAAATGCAAATGTATAAGATTAATATCTTTAAAAGATGCATCTCAAATGCATCTTTTACATGAATTGATTTTGCAGTGATCATCAAAATACACGTTACCCCAGGCAGAGCTATATCTTTTTGTTGTATTTTCCTATTTTCTAATCCACATTATCTCCGTGTTTTTGACACAGAAATTTTTGATTTTTCTAATCCACTCTGAAAGGCCTTTGGAAGAAATTTCATTGCGCCTCTTTCCTARGAGCGCTGGTAAAAGCAGCACAAAACTGCTTTAGTTGTCAGGACAGCTTAGCTTCACATTCTGTTACTGTGCTGTTTAATTTCCAAATTTGTTAATTTCTCAAAGAAAGAACACTTATTTATCTGTTTTCTCTTTTGCACAGTCATTCTCTGTAATAACTTTTGTATCCATGTGCTAAATTTTTTCCCCAAAATTTGACAAATCTAGATATTTTTCTAGAAATTAAGTCCTTGAGTATCCTTAAATGCCTCTACAAATTATATGACCTCTAGTACTCGGGTGCGGAGGCCGTTAGTTTGGCTTGTCACTACCTGCCRCAGTTGCCTTCTGGCAACTGCAGCACATTTGGCCGTTCATCCTGGACTGTCCAAACTGACCACAAATACTCTCCTGTTTAGTTAACAGATTACGTAAAATTGGTGGGCGCCGGAGCATTGAAAGGTGAAAATGGGGGATAAAAAAGAAGTATAGACTGGCATAGCTGAACTGTTAAGGACAAACTAGAAGGAAACCAAGCTAGGGTAATTCTGCAGGCTGTGCAGCAACCTGTCTGATGGAAATACACCATACCCTTCTTTTTTGTTGTTTCCTTTTTTATCTTTTTCCCCAGGTGCTTAGTAAAGCAGAGAGGCTCTTTAAATAACACTTCTGCCCAAGGTGTGCTATCAACTTAGGTTAGCAGCTGTAGTGAAATGTTTAATTTTGGGTAGAATTGGTACTTGCAGTGTTTCTGTAAAAATAAATAGCAATATAACTTTCTCTTCCTAAGAAATATTTTTGCGTATTCATCCTTGTAGGTTTATTTTCTCTGCCCTAAGATGTTTGCCCCTTTTTTTACCTTGAATATTCATACTTATCTACCACTTGTAACATGCTTAAACAGCATTTAGTTGCCAAGCAACTTGAAAATATTACTAAAAATAATGTCCTGTATGTGTTCTGATGATATTTATTGACTAAATGCTTTTGCCTATGGCTTTTTTACGCCCTCTTCCTGTTTGTTGTCTATGTTATGGTCTGGCACCTCATTTTATTAGCAGTTGTCCCTTGTTCTGCTGATGTCTGTCCCCCTGCTCAGCTCCCAGCCGATGAGAGGGTCAAATCACACTGAATAAGGATGGCCTAGAAGGTGCCTTGTAGCGTTTTGGGACTGGCTGCCAGAACTCACCTGGGTGTTGAAATACCACAACGGCTGCAGGGAACTTCAGTTTGTATTGCTATCAACTTTAATATATAGCCAGATTCTGTATTATAATACAACAAAGAAACTCAGTAGGTGAACGTGAGAGTGGTAATATTAATAGCCTTGATTACAAATCTATGTGGTTTTATATTAATTGTTAGTTTGTCATAATAATATGTTCAGTATGCAGATCCCAAGAGCTCCATTACCAATAAGGAGCTACTGGCTAAATCTTTTTGGAAGTGTATGTTCTGTTTAGGAACACGATATTGTCATAAATCATCAGTTCAGAGGTTTATTTAGACTAGCCCATACCCTTTCAAGTTGTATGGACAAATGTAGTCAAGTTATAATCTGTACAGCAAGGAAAYTGAAGCTGGTTTGCCCTAAAATTTTGAGAATCAGTATCCATACAGTTATAGCTTTTGAATTTGCTATGCGAACTGTAGATTAAAACTTCTTTATAAATGGTCAGCCTAATTTAAATCTTGCAGCATTGTGGAAATTGATGTGTTTTATGCATGKTGGTTTGTGGTTTATGGAATGGCATGTGAGCTTTAATTTACTGCTTTCCAGTTTCTTTAAAGAAACATGTGCTTTTACATTCCAGGGCAGACAGAAAAGCCTAACTCCCCCTTTTGTGGGGGCGGGGAGACGGGGTTGGTTTTGGCWTGTTTCTTTGTTCTTTTTGCTTCAAAACACATCTGATCAGGATGCTGGCAATACAGAAAACTTAAATTTTTAAGTGACAGAGTTCCATAAATGTTTTGAGGTCAAGACAGATGCCTTGAGAGGAAGATTCATTTTAGCACAGGTCTTCACCCTTTGCGTGCATGTGTGTGTTGGTGGAAGGTCTCCCAAACAAGAACCAATTACTTGGGGGAAATTGTTGAGATTTCTGGGGACTTGTTAGGAACTTGTGGGTATTCTAGACACAGAAATTGGCAAGCTGCTCTTCAACGATGAAGAAAAACCTGTGTGGCCAATTCAGAYGGTGAGTTAGGTTTTCTTCTGCGTGGGGGTCAGATAGCAGCATTGCACTGTGGATTGTGCTAATGGCTGCGGCTTTACCATGGAGTCCTTCCTAAGCTCTGTGGCCTATTGCAGGTGCCCACTTATGTCTTGTTCCTTGCTTTTCCTGGGAGTTTAGGTGCTCACTGTAACCACGCTTCGTGGTGGGTTTGCAGCTCTATAGAGGTATCATCAGTGACGAGTTACTCCATCTGACTTAGCCAGTTTCTTTTTCTTTTTCAACCRTATTTCTTTTTTGTTTCATGTTGATTTGATTAGCATCAGATTCCAAGATCCAGCTGTGCAACTTCCTTCCCGGAACTTATGAACTCAAAACCTAACTTCATGTTAAAGGATCTTTAAAACTTAGTTCAGGAAACAGGTACCAGAAAGAATATATCATCTACTCTGTGGGATACAGTAATTAATTGGTATGTTGGAAAATTATTCTTTCCATGAGTAATAGTCTATTTTAGTCATGGCAGTCAAATACTTTTACCCAGCTTGCAGAGTAAATGAAAAGAAAGTGACTAGGCAAAAATTCATCTTTTCTGTAACTGCTTTTTTCCCTCTTTTAAGTRCTATTGTAAAACCACTTTGTAGTCTTTATATACTTTGTAATCCTCTTTTCAAAATTATAATTTTTGTTTTACCCTACTGAATATAATTTTTGTATGGAAAACCTGATAGAGATGGAAAGGCTGTGCTGCTTTAACAAGAATATGCTGTTACCAGGAGCTTTTCCCTAACAGCTTAAGACTTTTTCCAGCATTGGTCAAATTGTGATGTCTCAGTAGTGACATCTTTGTGCCAGAGGGAAGCCAGTCATCCTTTGTACCATGACATCCGTTGTGGCTGTGACAGAATGCTAGATATGAATTTTTCCAGGGAATATATTTAGAAGCTTGAGCAGAGGTCTTTTAAAGAGGACATTCCTAATATTTTTTGAGGATGGCCATGCTAAGCTTTCTTATGTGTGTGTTGATGTGTTCGTGCTAAATAAATGTGGATACAACAATCCCCTTTCCCTGGTGTTCTCTAAACCCCATAGAACCTAAGCCTAAGGACCCTCTCATTGGAGAGTACTGGTTGCAGGAAACTCCCAGTTTTTACTGCTTTTTAAAGTTATCTTAATGAAACTTTCTAGCTTTCAGTATTTAACTTGGTCTAATGTGGGAATAACTGGTTTTGTATTCTTTGACACTCATCATTTGGGGGGTTGGAGCACAGTATGTACTGTACAGAGACAAGGCTGTTTCTGCTTTGCTGCTGTCTGGTGACTTTAGTAATATATTCTCAGAAGGGAACCTGGGACAGAGGAACAGGTATTAGCTGTGGCTTTTATTTGCAGTAAATATGTACTCTCTAAAAATAATACATTTTTTTTTCCTTTGGGATGAATTAGTTAAAAAGGTATGGCTTAATAAAACCTTTGTGTTCTCTTTCTATGTGTATGCAGATCAAATGAATTGCATGTGGTGAAACCCATATGACAACCACTGTTGATTTCARTAATCTCTTTTAGGATTTTTTTTTCCTTCTCACAAATAATTTAATTYGCAAAATTTTCTGTCAGTTTCCCCCCCACACACACACTCAGCTTCTCCTTCCTCATCACTTGCTCTATTTTTCACCCTTCAACTGACTGACTTGGGAGCAGAAAGTCATGGCTCTGCAGTGTCGTTTTGTCCTGCATATCCCTGTGTTAACTGTGACTGAATTCTGCAGTCCCCTGGCAGGAGCCTGAGTTTGAAGGAGCATCAAGATACTTAACAGGCTTGTTTAAATTGTGAGAAAAATAAAGATCTTCCTACCATATTATGGATTCTTTTGTACTGTGTGTCCAGTAGGCTTTAAAAGGGGGCACATAAATCAGGCTTATATTTTGAGTACCTTCAAAGAAGTTCTGTTCTGATGGTTTTTGTGTAAAGTGTGCCAAATCTTGTATTTTGTCTTGAAAGCATATAGGATTATAGTCATGTGTGGTTGACAGTGGTTGGTACCTGGTAGCAATGTATTTCAGAGCTTCTATTAGTAAAATGCCAGTTGCATGAACACAAATTACCTTTAGCTTATTAATGAGAGGTTATTAATTCTATGAATACCCAAAAGTATTTGATTTAAATTTGTTAACGGTTAGGTTGGCAAATACTGTGACTGTATTCTTGTGCTCGTGTTTCTCTTTCTGTGTTGTAATAACTTGCTCTTGATTGTTATTTTTTTTTCTAGATAATTCCTTGCCTCAATGTGAATCAAGTGACTGGACTTCTATACCAATAACTGACTATAAATATCCTGATATGCCCATAGCCAAACACAAGGAAGAGGTAACTTGATTGTAAACTTCTGTCCATTGAGAAATAAAACTGAAAATCCTACTTCTGTTTTCTTTCAGAATGAAACTTCTGTTGCTTTTTTAATTCCTGTTTGGCTTTATTTTATATGACTTTTTCTACCCCCAAAATATAACTTTTATACTTTGTTTATAAATGTTTATTTTCTATAAAAATAATACATACAAGTGAGCACGTGCCATTTTCTCTGAACTTCTAATGCATTTTATGATTGTAGTAGAATTACCGAAAGATACTTAAGACATGATGGAAATATTAACTGAGGTTTTACAGAGATGTTTGAAAGGCATACTATTGATAGTAATAGATCTTTCTAATTTGTATTTGAAAAATGTTTTGGGTTGTTTTGTAGAGTTAAAATTTTCTTGAAAAATATCGTTTCAGATAGTTTCTCTGATAGAAAGCAATTCAGTTGTGATTGTACGTGGAGTAACTGGCAGTGGTAAGAGCACGCAAATCCCACAGTACGTCTTGGACTATTGCACTCAAAAATCTACCTACTGCAATATTGCTGTCACTCAGCCTCGGAAAATTGGTGCCACCAGCATTGCCAGATGGATTAGCAAGGAGCGATCCTGGACATTAGGTGGATTTGTAGGGTACCAGGTATAAGAAGACTTGAAAATGTATTTTAAAATAAGGTTGGGGGGGGGGGGTGTGGTTTTTTACCTGTCTGCTGTTAAACACTCCTAATCAAATTTTGAAGTCTTTAGAAACTGAACATCTGGAAGAACAACTAGATTCTAACTGGAGACATTAATTAGCTGTGTTCTCCTTGGGCACACGTGTTACTGTTCAGTGATCTTGTTACAAGAGAACTGTGCCTTGTCATTCTTTCCTTTCAGCTCTTCAATTAACCTGTTAGATTTGCTTGACTTTACCTGTCAGCTTGGTTAAAGTTGCTCAGTTATTACTGGATTTATCCATGAATGTCCTGCCAGAGCTTTTTCTTGACATATCAAAAGCTCAGACCAAATTTTCTTTTAAATATATTTCCTTCCTTTAGTGTGTCAATGGCTGTTCCATCCTTCCATTCATAAATTTGCTGCCACGAATATTGGTGCTTTAATCTAAAGTGTCAGTGACAGCAATAAACTGCTGTGATTGTTGTTTCTAGTGGTAGTTTAACAGTAAACAGTAGAGTAACAGTCTCCACTAGCTTCAGGGATACCACAGTTGACATTTAACCCATTGGTCTGGATTGCTGAATTTCTGCCTGGCAAGATTTACTGATGCTCCCTATTTGGCTTCATTTTTTCCACCCCCCAACAATAGGAGTCTGTCACCTATTGAATATTGTTCATATATCAGATCTTAGCAATTTCTTCTAATAGAGCTACAGCAAACTTTCACAATTTGAATTTATTTCATTTTTCACAACTCCATAGTTAATTTCTTCTACAAGTAGAAGAAATTTCAGCTTCATTTCTTGAGAAAGTTATGATTTGGAAGTAACATGCCAGATGTTAAATTAAAATTTTTATATAATTCTTATCTCAAGCCTTGACCAAGCCAATGTTGTTCGCCTCAATTTTCTTTTTTGAAATTGATGTTTCAATCCTTTCTTCCCCCCCCCCGAGTCTTTGTCTTGCTCTGAATTTGAATAGAAAGACCCATTCATGTACCCCTAGGTAATTCTTCTCAGGCTAGCACCCGTAGCAAGAGCAACTGAAATTCATATTTTGGATAACCTTATAGTTTTGTCTCTGATTTTTAGTAAGGAAAATTTTTCTGTACCCAAGTTAATTGGTTCTGGGCTTTAGACCTGATGCCTGATTTAAGAACATGTTTGTTCAGAGACTTTCGCAAGTTGAATCATTGTGATGAGTTTATATTTCAGTTTGGTTTGTTTCACATGCATATTTGTGGAAAGAAATATTTATGTATGTCTGGAATTTTGAAATGCCTCAATCTTTTCCCCTTTTATATTAGGTTAGTTTAGAGAAAGTTACCACAAAAGACACAAGACTGACGTACATGACAACAGGAGTTCTTCTTCAGAAACTAGTTTGTGCCAAAAATCTAACTGAGTTCACACATATTTTCATTGATGAAGTAAGTTGAAGACAAATTTAATTTTTTATATTCTAAAAAAAAATTCTTTTTTCTTTGTCTCTCTTGTCGTATTAGGGAAAGAGAGATAGGAATACCTACCTTGACAGATGAGTGAAGACAAACTGTAGTCATGGTTAACAGTTCTAAAAATAGGCTTGTATCAGTTATTCTGTACTTCGTGTYGTGATGTGGGGTTTTTTGTTGCTTTTGCAAGTTTAGAATTGAGGTGGTTTGGAGAATTTTTTTTTTTGAGATGAGTGCCTTGAAATGGTTTCTGAATCTACATCTTGATTTTCAAGGTTGTGTCAGGTGAAGAGGAGACTGTTTATTCATGTCTTCGTTGTTTTTGCCTTTAGCTAGGGCCTTTGCTTTTTAGGGAAGTCCTGAGTATAAAATAGCCATCCCTTTGAAAGGGTTTTTTCTTCTGGACAAATTTATTTTTTTCCTTCAGGTTAACTGGGTAGCGTTTCATAAATATTTGTTGGCCATCTACTCTTTCAGATTTATTGCTGCTTTTATTGTTGCATGACTTTTAATGTTGTATAAAGGTGCTGTAATCATCCACCTTGTTGTGCTGAGGTTTTAAAACATAACTTTCATAGTCTTAAAGTGCCTTCTGCTATGGAAATCCGTGGCTGTTCCAGGTTGGAGAAGCATATACAATGTGAAACCAAGCAGCAAAGGATGCTCTTAGAAAAATGTGAACTTAGAAAAACTGTTTTGTTCAGTTGTGGATAATGTCTTTCAGGTACATGAGCGTACAAAAGAAATGGATTTCTTGCTCTTGGTAATCCGTAAACTGCTGCGTACAAATTCACGATTTGTAAAGGTAGGTTCGAAGTAAGTTCTTTTTCTTGGGAGGATGAATTTTTACATGTTTCATGTTTACATGTGGGGTGTAGTTTTAAAGAACTTAATCAAAAATAATTACACACTTCTGTGTAAAGTGTAAAATATTATCTAGTTCACGACTTCTTATAAGCAAGTCGGTTAAGGGCATTATTTTCTGGCCACTATAACGTGCGCAAGAGACTTACTTTCTTCATATTAAAATGCATCAGTTCCTAAAGTCTACTTAAGGCTAGAAATGCAGAATGAATATGCGACTAGAATTAAATATTGGATTTTGAGGTCAGCTAAGTGCTAAAACTCTGCACGCTCTGCTTATGAACAATGTAAGTAAAATTCCCTGCCATGCAGAGAACTATCGCAGCCACACCATAGTACCCCTTCTGCCAATGAATTGCAGTGTAATACTTGTGTGTTCTGCTGCTCTTTCAATAATGTTGCCCCATTTAAAATGCACAATGCTTCGAAGAGCTAGTGCAGATAGTGAATGCAGAAATTTCATGAGGCTGAAGGAGTCCCTTGAGTGCTTCAGCCAGTTGTTCAGTTAATGCGAATTGTTGCTTTTGACATGGACACAACCTGAATCTGTATTGGATCCTTTGTTGCTATTGCTAAGGAAGCTGAATCCTTCTGCACAATCTACCAGTGTTGGAGCGAACTCTGGTAACTTGTCCTTAGCTCTTCCAAGCATGGACTTCCCTCCCCTCACTGAAAGTGCCCAGCCACTTGTCAAAAGTCTGTCACTTCAGATATCTCTTATCCCTTGTATTTATCAACTTTGATCCCTTGTACTGCCAATAAGAAAACTCACTTCCTGCCTTTGAATTCAGAGACAATAATACAAAGCTGTTCTTCAGCCTTTCTTTGCACTTGGCTCTGTCTACCAAGACTGCCAAATAATTTCATCTTAGTTCATGAAAGTTTTTCTGGATGACATTTATTTGGTTGTCAAAAGCAGGAGTTCTTTCGACTTCTGTCATTTTTTCTATGTTAAACCATTTCTCTCTTAAAGGTTTCTGAAAGATCTTTGTCTCCACAATTCAGAGTAAATATTTTAAAGTTGTCACTGAAAGACATTTTTTTCCTTTACATCCTCCTCTGCAATTGTGTCTTCAGATGATGGTTTCATGTGGCTTGAAGCTGCTGTGGGTGGTTTTCTTGCCTTTTCCTTTCCCTTGAGTGTTTTAAGCTCCATTTTTTTCTCTCTCCTCTGGAAGTCCCTTTTGAAAAACTGATACAAAAAAAGATCTTTGATCATACGCAAATTTATTTGGAAGAATGGAGGCTTCCTCCTGTATCCCACCCCAGCTCCCACAGTGACCTGTAAAACAAAAGTGTTCTTGGAGGCCTTTTTTAGGGGGGAAAAATATATTTATGACTCAAGGTAGTGTGAAATGCACACAGTGATGCTTGTTTCCTAAACTGGACGTTACAGACTTCAGATATCTTTCAGATTTTTTCTTTCAGATATCTATATTTTTTCTATCAGCAGTGATTTGTGATTCTGATATATAGAGCACATCATCTGACTGTTGTAGTTAAGCTGCCAACTAGCCTGAGGAACAGCTGTTTAGGTAGGAAAGCAGGACTTAGAACCTGTGCCATGTTCTAGCCAAATTGCTGAAGATCTATTTGATCTTAAACTGTCCGATTATCTTCTCCCATATATTTGCCCTACTGATGATATAAGCTTATTAAACCTTCACTCTGGGAATATCAAATTCTTGGTTTAGTATCAATCAGTGCTCATTTAAGAACCTAAAACTTTCCCAGTAGCTTGAGACGTCTATGCAGACATCTGTGCATAGAGATTATAAGTTGAGCAAAGGAAGACATTAACATTTCCTGCCAGTAAGTGCATTTTAGAAGAATTCAGGTTGGATTTTGTTCCAGTAACCTTCAGGCAAGGTTACACATAGCCTGTTTTTCTAGCATTGGTAAGCTCCTTTTCCCTGAACCAGCACACAGTTCATGCTGCAGTAGAACACCTTTTATCTCTATTTGCTGAATTACATCCTTTCAGAGATTTCCTTTTTATTTTTCAGATTTATGATAATTAACTTCATGACTTAATCTGCGCTTTCTGTGTTTTCCCTATATCACAGAACCTGTGCCAAGTAAAGTGTCCACTTCATTAGCTTGCCTGCCGATCATTCTACAAGGGAGATGCTTATATGTCATTGCATTTTTGTTCTGGGAATTGATGCTTTTTATCTCATTTTATTTTCTGTGTTATGGGAAGTCTCAGGGAACGTGGAAAAGGACTGACAGTATTCCTGTGTAACAGTAATGTGCTGAGTGGCTCAAAATTGAGAGATGGATGCTGCCCAGTTCATTACAGTTCTTTGGATCTTGATGCATTTCATGCTTACTCCAACTGTCAATGCTGAGCAATAGGACCACTTTCTAAATGGAGGAAGTCACCACCTTACTTGTTCTTCTCCCTTCTTTTTACATTTACTGTGCTGTCTGAGCCAGGAGGAAAGCATCTAAGCAGACTGCAAGATTGATTTTTTAATAACTTGAAGAAAAGGCTTCATCAGATAGCAAATGTGGTTTCTGTGCCTGCAACTGGATGAAAGCTCTGACAAGAATCTTGTCAGAGTTGGCAGATGTCGGAGAGCAGTGAGCTTAGTGGGGTCCTTCAGAGTTTGTTGCATAAACTTACTGAAACTCAGGAAAAATCTGTTACTTGAAGTATTTAATAATTAGTTAAATTTTTAAGGCTAGAATATAATTGCTAATACGACTGTCATAGTAAATAGTCCTATCTTTTGAGGGTGATAAAGGCACCTGCTCTTAACTGTTGTTTAATAAATAGGAATTGCAAGTATTTAGCATGCACTTTCTGCATTTGAGGACAAGTTTAAAGAACAGTGCTAAATGTTTGTAGACTGAACTCTACTGCATGAAGAGATTGTTCATGTAGTCTGCTGAGTGCATCTAGCTGAAGTCATTCTCTTACTGGTGTTTACCTTTTTCCACCTGCTATATGGGAACTATTCATCATTTAGCTATGCTTGTCTTGACTATGCCTAAGGCAGGCCATGTACTAACTTTAATTAGTTTGCTTTAGCTTAAAGAAGTGGAGATTCTAGTGGGAAAAAATGCATTTCATATTAAAATTGATGTTTTCACCTTTGCTCTGCACATTCTTCAACAGGTGATACTGATGTCTGCTTCCATCAACTGTAAGGAATTTGCTGAGTACTTTGCAATTCCAGTTCATAACAAACTGAATCCAGCCTATATATTTGAGGTGGAAGGCAAGCCTTATGCTGTTGAAGAATATTATCTTGATGATTTGAAGCACATAGTTCACTTCAAGGTACAGTAAATATTTCCTTGGATGTAGTAAGAAAAGTTTGATGTGAAGCTGTCCATCACTCTAAAAGACAGCTATTTTTAGTTAGCTTTTGGTAAAACTGATGTGAAAATAATGCCCTATCTGGAGGTTAATGAAAGTAATGACAATATGGTAGTGTTTGAAACTAACTCTGTTCTTAATGGAGCAATTAAAATATCTCTATAAAAAAAGATACATTGACTAAGCCAGAACTGTGCTGTTTGTTGACTTTCATAAGGATTTTCTCTCATATTAAGAATTCAGATCATCGGCATCTGATTTTAGCCAAAGTTGAACCTTGTCATTGTGGCCCAAACTCTGGATACTTAAAAAGCAATTAGGACTAGACTAGACTGCGTCCCTGCCTCTGGAGGGGCTGGTGGATGGTGCCGCATCTCCAGGGCACAGGGAAGCTCTCGAGGGCTTTTTCATGAAAATTATTTCATGTCCAGCTCTCTTGGGCAGCACTGTAGGTCCTTTCACAGTGGCCTTCATTCATTAGGAGAAGCTGATTCAGAGAAGGAATTTATGTGGTCTCGAAAACTGTGTTATGTAGGACAGATTTTTTAGATCTTAATTCTGTGACCATATGGAATACTTCCTGCAAGGCTTTTTAGGATGTGGGGTTTTTGTTTGTTTTTGAAAACCTCAGTGATGTAAGGAAGAATAACCTTTTTTTAAATAACTGTTTTGATTCTCTTCAGTGAAACAAATATATTTTGCTGAGATCCAAATCAAATTATTTAACATCCTGTGGGTTTTTTGTTGACTTTTCCTTCAGAAGGACTTGTATACAATGCTTATAAACTGATGAAAAATTTGATGCACTTAAAAGGTAATGCTATGTGAACATACTGTTATTCTTCAGGCTTCATCTCTCAATTCTGCAAAAAAAAAAAAACTGCTTTTTTTAAAAAAAGAAACGAAAAAATAATTTAAAAAAACTATGGAAAATCTAGAAGAAAATATTTGACTATGTTGCAGATACATCCCTGAACATAAGCAAGTTTTGGTGAACGTTAGCTCAAAGTCCCTAAAAGCAACTGCTCAACCACTGTTGAAGACTTGACTTATTGACCCCCACCACCACCACCAAAAATAGAGCAAATGCATGTCCCATTTGTGCTGTCAAGTGGTCATGCGTTAGGGTGGCAGTTCTGATGGACAACCTGGAGGAGATTATATAATAGGTGATTCAGTAAAAGACTTTTGATGATGGTTAACAAAAAGATAACCAAGAAATTCTCTAAAGAATCTATTTCAGTCAGGTTACATTTGTCATAACTGATGCACTGTCAGCTGGAGGCCAACTGCAACACCTTTCTACTTAAAGATAATGAATAAAATGAGCTGTTTACAGTGTTTGTGTGTTTTTAATATACATCTATTTTCTCTGTATATATGATCTTTCAACTTTCATTCTTAAGTTTTCCTCTATTTCTTAGTATGGTATTCTTTTGGCTACAGTAGTCCTGTTTTTTACTGGAGGAAATGAATATGATTGTACAAGAAGTTATATGTACCCTAGGGCAATACAGAAGCACGGATAAGATCTTTTTTTCTTTTAATACATATGAAAATAGAAAATGAATGGGAAGGCACTGATGTTTTATCTTGCATCTTATCTCTGTGTGTGGAAGTTTTCTCTGAACAGTAAATTTAGTAAAAGAAATTACTTAACATGGAATATCTGGGAAGATTTACATAACATCCTGATAAGAATGAAATGTAGCCTGGAAGTTAGGACAGCTAATAAGTTGAGCACTGCCACATGAAAGCAAGGGTCTGCTCTCGTCATGCTAAAATCAAGATCAATTATGTAGCTCCCAAGTGCCTAGGGCTCCAGGCTCTAGTTCTTTATATTTGATTTTTGCCTTTGAAAAGTCTGTAAAATTCGCATAAAAGAACGGCATTAATGACAGCATCCTTTGYATTTGATATAAATTCTGCAGATTTTTGTTTTGAAGTAAAATCAGATGATAAAAACCATAGCTCAGTCCTCAAAGCACCTTGGTTTGAACTGGTTTGGTCTTTCATAATTAATTGTTTTGTTTGCTATGAGGTATGAAACTTTGTCTCCTCTTAAGGAAAATTTAATTTTTTTGGAGATGTGTTCAGTTCTTTCGTGAGTCTTTGAATTCTTGTGAGTATTTACTCACTTTGGGTGATGATGTTTTAAATATGGAATAAAAAAATCTTCGAGCRGTTTTGCTTTGGATGGTTTGGTAATTCACTCATCTTTCATCAGTTGTGTTGTAGGGGACAATCAGAAGTGCTATACAGTACATTCTTCCACATACCTTTTCACAGCCATTCCTTTATGGTAAGCCCTTATGGTTACACATAAGTTGAAGAGTCAAAGAAAAATCTTTCCCCTTAAATGGCTGAATTTGTAGAAAAAATAAAAGTAGAGAGGGAAAGAACTTTTTTTCAAATATAGTACTTAGTCATTAGCAATTGTGTCATRTAGATATGAAACCTATACTCACGAAGTATATCCAAGGAAATTTCTCTTGACATAGTGATCTTCATGTTCTGGATATTAAACTGGATCATTGTCATAACACCTATCRGTGAATCTGTAGGTGAATTTAAGGCTTGCTGAGTTCTGTAAATGATTGCGTATTGGAGTAATACACTATTTCAGATGCTGAAAGAAATTTAATTATATAGTTAATCCTATGAGCAGCTTTTCGTGAAAGGAGCTAGGGGTATTGAGGTTGGTCATTTTGGTAGGCAGAATGTTAGTGAAATCCCAGATCTCTCTTTTTGGGCCTGCAGAGGAGAGAACTTTGCTAGCTCTGGGGCTGAAGCTGCTGAGTGCAGATGAAGGTAGTGACACCCCTGTCAGGAGTGGTTCTGCCTGTGATGTGTTGTTTCAGTCAGCCGTGCCGGGGCTTCGTGCTTGCCGTTTGTCACGTCGTTACCTTTCCCGAGTGGGGTGGCAGCCCTGTCATGTTAAATAATACCAAAGGTAACAAAGCTGAAAAGAGAACTTTGACAGCTATTCAAGAAAGGATAATTTTTGAARATGGTCTTATATTCAAGTAAGCCTGAAAACATAAAATTCCTAAATGTTGTCAGGTATGGAAAAACTGCATCTGAGAAAAAACCTGGAATGCTGTTTGTGAGTTCCCTCATGGGCTAATATACCTAATTAGAAAAGCAGAGGGCCAGGTTCTCGCTTACTAGAAGGGGTTAAGGTGAGAGGCAGTTATGAAGCTCTGAAATTGATGGGATTATGTGCCTGAAAGGTCTCTCTGGATGCCTCAAGGGAGGTAGAATTAGAAGGAGTGTGGTCAGGTGCTTACAGATGGCTTCATGTTCCAATCCATCTTCTGGACTAGGAAAATGTTCTTTGGGTTTTCAGGAAGGAGTCATTCTGCAGGTACTATGGTGACTTATAGTAGACAGTGCATAGAGAAGTATAGGATGGCTGTTTCAGTAAGGATCAGGAACATGAAGACCAAGGTTTGCTGCAAACCTTGATGCAAAAAGATGGTCACAGTTGGTGTTGCTGTGCTCAAACTTTTTTTTTTTATCTGCAGTAGTGCTTTTGTGATTCTGCAGTGTGCCATTTTAAACAGGGAAATGGGCATGAATAACTTGGAGTAGTTACTTTAGTTTTCTGCAAGTTTCACTCCCTGCAAGCTAGCTGAACGCTAAATTCAGATTCCTGTAAACTTGGAGTTGCAGCTTGTGGATTTGAAGTGGATATTCAAGGCTAGTGCTGGAGCGGGAAATGAAGCGAGTGATTGGGCACTGTCTTATTCTTTCTCCCCTTATTCCATAAGAAGCTATAGAAGATACTGACAGATTATTTCCAGTAGAACCAATACTGCTCTTTAGCTCTTCTGCTTACAGTGGATTTGTTCCTTCTGGCTTTCATTTGGCTTTGTTAGATGAATGTATCTCTCTCTATTTATATGAGTGTGCCTACGTCCTCAGAGACTGTAGAGAAAGAATATTGATGCCGATAACCTGAGAACACTAGTTTCTTTAGGAAATCTTGAGTCACTTGAACCGTTTTAGTATAAAAACAGATAAAATATTCCACTTGGAGAGAAGAACCTCATAGARAAGCATGGGGAGAAAGTGGTTTGATTATAGAAATTCTAATTGCTAAAACTGAGAAGTGACTTAAGTAATATTTTTTGCTCTGGTGGCTTGGTGTATGTTCTTAGCTATTCAAGCCCAAGATGGATTTGTTTAGTGATCAAGTCAACACAGTTATATTGTACATGACACAGCTGTAGTTCTTTGACAGAGTATGACCTAAAACAAAGGGCCGTTAAAAGAGGATTTCAATGAGAAGTGGTACATGATTAATTAGTAATGATTGGTTTGGCAGTTAGGAAGAGAAACTTAGGTTATGAAACGTGTGAGAATGCACATGAAAAGCACATTATGTTGTGTGTGCTTTGTACAAATTCTTCTCCTTGTCATCCTGTTCCCATGGGTTAGACTTGGTTGTACATCCTCACCACTTTTGGGTAAGAAGGAAGTCTGGTAAACACCAAGTAATTGAGCGTGGACTCATCCTTAAGATACATATCAGAGGTATGCCTTTTGGCATTAAGATCATAGAACACTTGAAGAACAACATCTCTTTAAAGGCAATGAATATTTTCAGATTATAATAAATTACTACTTCATACCAGGATCATTTTAGTTGAAAAGCAGTTGAGGAGTCTATGCGTGTAAGTAATCTGTTAGCCTCTTCTACAATGCTGTTAACCTTACTTTTTCCCTCCATGCACAGCTTCCTCCTCAAATAACTGAGGAACCAGTGATAGTAAAGGAAATGTATGATCTTGCGGTGTCTTTGATTCAATCATTTGATGAGTTGGAAATGAAGATTAAAAGGTAAGAATAAAGTTCAAGATTGTGACTAAGGGATCTGTGGCTTTTTGGGAAAATGATATTCTAATTGAAGAACATAATTTGCAGTGCTTAAGGGTACACAGTTTTCTGTCTCTCATTTTATATAAAACAGATTTCTACTCAGGTTAATCATGTTAATGTTCCTTCTAGGTCTTACTGAATTTCCTGTGTTCTTCAAATACGTTTTATGCCCTTGAGTGGAAGTGGCCATTAAAGCCAGCTGTGTCATCCAGAAGCTTCAGGCTCTGTGCTGTAGACTAGAATTGAATATTGTTTATATGAAGAATAAAAGCAGAACTAACCTATTCTGTATTCTGAACTAAAACATGCATTAAGGTGCAACAAAGCTGAAAAATATAAAAGGGGCATTAACAGAGCATTGAGCTGATGCTTTCCTTCACTCACTTTATATATGTGTGTGTATATTTTTTTGGTAAATGGCTTTCTGATATCCAGAAACATGATGAAGCAGCTACTACAGCTTTTAATCTAATGCTGAGTAGGTGTTTGAAGCTAATGTTTTTGGTCCCTTATATTATGATTTATATGTATAGATTAATGCTGAAGAAATAATTTGATTTCATAAGGCTGTGTCTTTCCAACTCGACATTAGTTAAGCTTGTGAAATTTTAAGCATTCCTTAAGCTCACATATGCTGTTATGGAATTGAATACTCAAGTACAAGTGTCAATGGATGTAACATTAATATAAGCTAATTCATTTATAATCAGCCTTTTTTATGACTTTTTTGTATTTTCCAGAACATTTCACTGTAGTTTGGAGTAGCCAAAAATAAACTGCCTTATACTAATGAGAACTTTTATAAACATGATACTCTTAAGGTGATATTCTTAAGAGTTTCAGAATGTTGTATATTATAATTAATACATAATTCTTCAGTAATATACGACCTCTCCATCTTAATATCTTTGAAACCTAATTTTGATGAACTTTAAAGGTAAATAAGAGTATTTGCTTTGATGTAATTTTGAAGACAAATGCAAACTTAGTGATTCGCATCCAGTTTTAAAATGTGTGTATACTGAAAAATGGAATTGTGAATATGTTGAGTTCCACTTCAGGAAGTGTGAATAGTACGTATTCCAGGATATGTGGAATTCTGGTTGTCTTCCAAGATAAAACATCTTAGAGTAATGAAACAAAGTTGGTTGAGGTTGTAGAACTAATGAAATTGCATCCTCTTATTAGAGAGAACAAAACCTTGCATCTTATGTCTGAACGGGGCAGTGTGCTAGTATTTTTACCAGGTGAGTATAAGTAATTTAATTAAATTTTTCTTGTTTGGCATTTAACAAGTTTTGCTCTGTCATTTCTTCCATGGGTTAAGTAAATGGGTACTAAATTGCAGTTTCTTAGTATGTATGTGGTGGTTTTTTGTTATTGTTTGGTCTATCTTGCAAACTTGCATTAATACGGTAATAACTATAGGAACTATGAATTCAAGAAGTTAATTCTGAAGTAGTGTATCTTAAAAATAAACTTACAGTCCTACGATTACTTCAAAAGGATTGAATTGCTCAGTCATTTCTCTCCATTTTCTATTTTCAGTCTTTCTGCCTGGCCTAGGTATCTAATCTCTGTGGTCTCCAGCAATTTCATTTCCCAACCAACCCCTTATTAGCATCATGTTCTGTTTCTTCTCTTATTTCTAGTTTCTTGCATTCTAGCCTCTTCCCGTCTTTCCTCTTAATTTGGCTCCTTTTTTTTTTCCTAGCCCATCACACATACTTTCTTTGAATTCTGGTCTAAGTTTAAGATCCTTTCTTATTTTTGCTGAAAAAAAGTTGCTCTTTCTTTTTGCATTCTCTAAAGAACACAAGAGCGCTCAGGGCGCTGAAACTGTATTTAATCTGACTGAAAAATGAAATATTCCTGTATTACAGGATAATATCCCTTCTAATATCAGTACGAGGTGTAGGCTGCTGTTAGATTTTTGGGGGAAATGCAACTTTTGAAACTGAACAAGTCTGTATCAGAAACACACTAGGCTTCTCCAAAAGGTTTATACCTATGTAGATATTTGGAAAGACAACAAAAATATGTTAAATAGGAATATTTCATCTGCCATCCTTGGTCAAAGCATGGGTACTGGTATTTTTTACAAAAAGAAAAACAGGCATGGCCAAAATTCTTTTCTTAGTCTTGTTCTTGAAAACTTTTGCATTGTTTTAGCTGAAATGTACAAATTTGGCCCAAAAATGGGTGTTCAGCTTGGAGGTAACATGTTCCCCTGTAAGGAAGAGAAACTGATGGGAGGGACTGGTAGATGGCCTTTATATCTGATATTGCCGCTTTATCTAAGTAAGTTCACAGAAAACGGGCCTTTTCATTAACAAATCATTCATAAAGGTTTCAAATGAATCATTGTATGTTTTCTCTGCTGTCATAGTGCTATATAAAAAGGAGGTAATTGAGATAAGAATTTACGTGGAAATAAGAAGTACTTTTAGAACTGTCAGTCTAGTATATTTTCTAGGAATTGTCTGTTTTGTAGAATCAGTACAAAAAAAAACCCCTTGATTACTTTTTCCCTAGGTTTGGCTGAAATAAACTATATGCACGCATGTCTCTCAAATACATTTAACAAAAGGTAAGTTAGATTTCATGCATTTATTCTCTTAAACTTGAACATGGATCCTTCAGCTATATGAGGTCTTAGATACAGAAACAATTTATATTTCACTGATGCATTTTATTTAGGTTGCAAGTGTACCCACTCCACTCAACTGTGACATTGGAGGAACAAAATAACGTCTTTTTGTCTCCAGTTCCTGGCTATAGAAAGGTAAATATTGTTGAATTATCAATTATCTTCTTTTGTAAATGTGTAAAGCTGTTTGTTAGGAAGAGTTCAACTCAAATCACTGTATGAAGGGAAAAGAGTTTTATTTTTTCACAATGTGAAGCAGTTGACTATTTTCAAGTTGTTGTAGTAATTACTGTTTAGAACTTGAGATGTGCAGTAAAAGAAGGTTATCCTTAAATTATTGCGTGGCAGGCTTTTTTTTTGTGCTTCAGAATAGCTTTTGCRTACTGATTCTTGCACCTGTGTGGCATTGTGTTTTGCTGATGAGRCGTTGTGCTTCATGTGATAACACGTTCCTGATGTTATGCTTCACATTTTACTTAGTGTGTTTGTTTTTTGTCATGGCTAGTACTGTTGTATTTGACTATTATATAAATTTACTATTTGTCTTTTTCTATGTTGTCATTATACGCTACCAATTTATTACACGTTTTCAATATTAGAGGAAAAAGTAGAGGTTTCTTTGTGTTGTATCTGTTGGAGAACAGAAGCACTGTATTTCCAGTGCTTTCTAGCAGGTTCAATTTTTCCATGTAGAAACTTTTTAAATTTTTAAATTATTTTTTTTCTCTTTGTATTTGAACCCAGATTATTCTGTCTACAAATATAGCTGAAAGTTCTCTAACGGTTCCTGATGTTAAATATGGTAAGCGTTTTGAATAGAAATTACATTGTTTTTATTAAGTTTTTAAAATAGGACATGTTGGAGAGAGCATGTCACAACTCAAGCTCCTTGTTCAAATTATAAATAYATTTTAAAGTAATTTCATCAAGTGAATTGTATTCTAGTATAGAATATATAAATACATAAACAACTGCTTTTAATGCTTGTCACCTGATCTATCTTGACTTACTGTGATAATACTGAGATCTATTTGCAGATCTGTAAGTATTAGAATATCTTGGGTTTAATAGGTAATACATCCAGTGGTATCTTGTATTCTTTGTAGCTTTTAAAATACTTTAAACTTTCTTCTATGATAAAAACAAAAAAAAGTACTGAATAGATGACAGTCAAGTTAAGTTCTTCGAAGTAAGCTAATACTTTGTTTTTATTTTTTCTTAATTATAGTGATAGATTTTTGTTTAACTAGAACTTTGGTTTGTGATGAAGATACTAATTACCAAAGTTTGAGACTTTGCTGGGCATCTAAAACCAATTGTAATCAAAGAAAAGGTAAGGTGGCAGTAGGTAATGGCAATCTTAAATGCTGTGCTTGAAGAGTGGTATACTACAATTTTGTTAATTTGTAACTTTTTTGTCATTAATAATATGTATATATTAAACTTAATTTTATACCATTTCAGGCTATTTTAATGTAATTAAATATGTCTGAATATTTCATCTTGTTCAAATATTCTGCCAGGGTATTATTATGTATTTTTAAATACATTAATATTTAGAGATCATAAAGCTTACAGGGATTCTGTTTTACTTAGTAATAATGCTTAACTATGTGATATTAAAGAAAAATATAGGAGGAGGCAGAAGAAAAGTAGTTAACTGTTAGGTATTTATTGTCTGCTTGGGAGTTTCAGCCATAAAAAGGGTCTTATTTGTGTGATTTATTTCTAAATAGATTCTAATTATCCACTGGGATATCCCACTGACCTGAGTCTCTTGTAGCTCACTGATGTCAGTGTGATTTGGATTTGTGGAGATGAGCTTTTTGAGCATTTTCTGCACATAATGGTTTGCTTTTTTTTTTTTTTTTTTTTTTTTTTTTTTTTTTTGCTGTTCATGGTGTTGTCTTACAAGTTGTTTGTATAGAAGTGTTTGCTAGCTTTGGATTCAGGCAGAAAATCTGAGTACACTCATCATGTAAAGAAAAACAAATGTAAAGCATATTTACTCTGTGCTCCTCTTCAGTGCGAGGGTATGCCTTAACTTCTGTTCGATGCATTTATCCATACCAGCTTGCATTTGGTAGGACTCTTGCCCTTTCCTAAATTTGAAGTATTATGTTTTAGAGAAGGATTTGTCTTTACCTTTCTGATGAGAAAAGTGGATTCTGATTTCAGGGTATTTATGTGGAAGAGGTATTGGAGTGAAATGTGTAGCTCTTAGAGATGCCGTCAGGCAAATCTGATCCTTGTGTAGGAAAGCAGAGAGATCATGTCTTCGCTGCTCCAAAAGACCAAATCATACTGCAGAGCCTATAACATCAGCTTTCCTTGTCTGCTCAGCTGTCCAAAGGTTTYTGGGTGGTGTTTCATAAAAAAAAATCTGAAGATGAGGTCATTTACAAACTGATAATTTGCTCTTTCATGTGAAGGTCGTGCAGGACGTGTTTCCAAAGGGTATTGTTACAGGCTTGTACACAAGGACTTCTGGACAAACTGTATTCCAGAAAAGCCAATACCTGAGATACTGGTAAGAATTTTGAGGATTTTAAATTTTTTAATCTATGTGTTAATATTGAGATAACTTTAAGAAATGCTAATTCCCCTTTACCTTTCCTGAAGGCAGTCTATGATTTGATTAGTTACTCTTAACTCTACTACTGAGTAGATTTCAGGTTGAGTTAGTTAAATAATTGAATGACTGTGAATGATATGAAGACTATTCAATGCTGCTTTTTGTTATAGAAGCAGATGCATTGCAGGAAAATATTCCATGTCACTTTACGATTTGGCAGCCTGTTCAAATAAAATGAGAATGAATGAGAAATTCATCTCAGKTTTTATTACATACAATTTAACACTTAACTCAGTTAATTCTAACTCAGTTGCTTGAAGTCCCACTTCTCATGCAGGAACATAACAGTAGCATTGTCCTTGCTTTAGCGTTGTCCTTTGGGAACCACAATCTTAAAAATAAAAATGCTTGACATGGGGGAACCAAAAGCCTTGTTGGCAACAGCTCTTTCTCCACCCAGTGCAGGGGACATTGAACGCACCATACTTCAGCTGAAAGAGGTACGCATCAGTTAATGTTTCTAAAAAGATTCTAATATTTCTAAGAGATTTGTTTAAACCTGGTGTTTCTGGGTTTATAAAGTTGTAGTAGACTTAATTGGAACCTGAGAATTATGTCTAGAGAACCTCTTCTTAGTTTGAATCTTGCTTGTTTGCCATCCTGTTCAGCATAATTTCTGAAGTTACTTCAGAACAAGATTATTCTCTCAKCACATGAGATGAGTGGAAAACCAATATTGTTGGTAAACAGCATCTATAATGAGGAAAAAAATAGGAAAAAAGAGAATCTGAGTTCTGTAAGTGAAAATATATCTGGTGATCATGCACTTCCAGCTTATGATATGTCAGAACCGATCTATATGTAACCAATCTCAACATTACCTTTTGACGCACACGAGGAAGTCATAACTTGCTCTCTGATTAAAATTTAGAATGGATTTGAACACTAATTGTATTAAACTTATTTTTCTGTGTGTGTGAGAGCAACTGTATTTGGATGCAGGCTTGCTTTTATATGTAGTATTTCTAGCATTACTTTTAGAATTAAGAACACTAACTGCATTGGGATTTTGGTATTTGTGATAACTSTTTCTTGTTTTGTTTGCTTATATACTGATCTTAGATTTGCCTGATCAGTTCRTACAAGTGAATAACTTGAATTTAATTTCTATAGTTAGGAGCACTCACAACTTGTGTGCAAACAGAAGAAAATCCACATGATGGTGAGCTGACTTTTTTAGGAAGGGTATTGGCACACTTGCCAGTGGATCAGCATCTTGGAAAGTTGATAGTCCTTGGTCATGTGTTTGGGTGCTTAGAAGAATGCCTAATTATAGGTGAGTGAGAGAAAAAAAGTATGACCATTTTTATAAARACAGGTAAGTTGCAGTTTTTCATTTCTCTTGGTTTATTTTTGTAGCTGCAGCACTCTCCTTGCGGACTTTTTTTGCGGTGCCTTTCAGACAGCACATTGATAGTTACAGGTATTATTGGCTCTAGATGTTTTACGTCTTCCTGACTGTTTTTTTGAGGCAAAGATCTAAGTTGATTTTTTTAAAAAACAAAAAGTCCTTAGGTGATATTACTRATAAATCCTTGTTTGTATTGCCAGGAATAAACTGTATTTTGCTGGGAACAGCAAGAGTGACTGTATTGCGATTGTGAATGCATTCAAGGTACRTCTGTCTCTTCAGACTGATCTTTTGGCTGACATTTTGGCTTTTAGATTGTTAAAACTTTTGATGTTATTACTCCTAGCTACTCTAGTAATGCTTTCTGTGAACTATCTCCTATTGCATATGTACTACTATATAATACTGCTCTTAGCACTTTGAGCCAGCTTTGATTGCAGAAGGAGTTGTGCAAGCTTGCACCCAATTAAGGCTGTAAGAAACATTGAGTGAAAGCAGGTTGCATCACTCAGTTCCCTACTTCCTGCAAATACTTTTGGCTTTTGAGGTATTCCTTCTAAGTAGYTGATAAACAGTGAAGAAAGGGAGGCTGTGGTCTCAGTCTCCGTCTTGCTAGAAGGAGGAACAGGTTTGGAACAAGTGGCTCRGATTCCTTTCCTTTCTGTAAAGGAGGTTCTTTAGATGGTGCAGCAGATGCATGGAAGGCYTAGCCATATTGTTCCTGTCTGTAAAGTAACTGCCTACAAGATCAAAAATAGTGGTCAACTCCTGCGGAATTAAGTTACTGGACCAATAACCTGAGATTGTGAAGAGGTTTGTAATGTAGCGTATCTGTTGTCCATGTGATACAGTGAGGATCCTCCTATACCTGTTATAAACCTTATGTATGAGACCACAGTCTTCTGTTTCGCAAAATATGTGRGTGGTAATCTTCTCATGCTTCTTTTAAAATCTTCTGGACCTCTCTATGCTCCAGGACAAAGTATGATGACTTTTGCAACCTTTTCAACATGAGTGATTGTAGCTTAGACCCTAATACACAAGTACAAGAAAGTGTAATCAAAAAGAGAAAAAGGATGTGAATAGATAGATGGGAACATCTCCCTTCTGGGATGTAATCAAAACTCAGCTAGACAAAGCTCAGCTCCACAATGTGATCCAAGCTGGCCTTGCTGTGAATGTGGCATGAGAAGACTTGATCTTAAGTGTCTTCTAACCAAAATTATTTTGGTTCAGATCTCCCTTTATTCTTTTGTTTTTAAATTTTCTTGAGGTCTATGCTGCCCTAAGAGTATTTCTGTGTTTTACATTTGTGTTTTTAAAAAAATCTTCACTATACATTTGGAAAATACTCAATTGCTGTGAACRTCACATCAATTTGTTTTAATAAGTTATTACTGAAACACTACAGTTTATGCCTTAATTTTACTTCACTTTTTTCTTAGGCATGGCAGATTTGCAGACAAAAAGGAGAATTGAGACATCCCAAGGTTAGGGTTTCTTTTCTTTCTTTCCATTCAAAGTTTAGTGACTCCAATAATGGTGTTTTATATTCTTACTACTGCAATTTGAGCTAGCACTCTTACCTGCAATAGTTGAGTTTTTTCTTAAGTAAATAGAAGCATAGGCTCTGAGGGAATATCCTTAGTCTTTGGATTCAGCATCAAGTATCCACAGGCAACCTTTTATATGGTCCCTTTCATAGACAGACCATCCAGTTTTCCAAAGGGAAATCAAGCTGAAGTTGAAAGAGAATAACATTTTTGTTATAGATGAATCTTCTTTAAAGAGTCAGGAAGGAAGGCTTTAAAAGGGAAGTTTAAAAAACGACAGTGAGCAGGGCCAGGTAAAAACAAGGACATTAAAAGTCACATTTCTGAGCTGACGGACTCAAGATCTATATGTGATCAGTCTCAAAAAGAAAAAAGAAGTGATTTATGCACAAGAAATAACTTCCKCTAATCTTTTTGGACTGATATATGTAAGAGAATTTTTGATTTCCCTGCATCATTTAGATCCAAATGTGTTTTACGGACACCTGTGCTGAATACCCTGAAGTTTTAATGGGTAACCATGATTGCCAGCGTGTTGAGTCTGTCTGTAAAAATTGTGCTTTCAGCTAAAGCAAGTCTTGTTTTCCTGTAGTGCCTACCTTGAATAGGTCCTAGAGTAGCAGCATGGAAGAGTTCTACCTGTTGGTTTATATGAAACATCTATACCTGACCTCATGTTAAACTAAGTGTAGTTTGTTAGTCAAATTTATAGTTCTGTCCTATTTTATACATGTTGGACCTATTGATGTGAATGGATAAAAATATGTGAAATGAGATCTTTCTCTCACTGTATATGATTATGACTAAATCCACCCAGAAGAATTTGAGAATTTTTAGCAGTAGAGAAACCAGTATATAACAGCATCTGCATTTTCATTTTACTTTCAGGAAGAGCTTGACTGGGGTCGATCAAATTATATTCAGATCAAGAGAGTCAGAGAGGTGAGCTAAAAGAGATGATTGTATAAGCAGAAAGGCTTTGCCTTTTAAACAGATGCCAGGATTTTGGATGAACCTCCTGCTTGTGTGTGTGCGCATATTTTTTTCCTAAGAAATTTCCACCATTATTTCCACTATTARTTACTGATTATATAAGTTCCTCAAATTTGTACATTTTTTTTCCTCATTGTTACATTTGTTTGGAGAAATAGGTCAATTTAAAGCAAATGTAAGTATAGTTATACTGTAAGTATAGAAATGAAAAAAGTATTTTGTTACTAGGGTTCCTGCAGCAGTTAATGAAAACTGCATTGCAAAGTACTTCAAGCCAAATGTGATGTGTGGAGAAAGGAAGTAATTAACTCCTGAATAGCTGTGGCTGGCAGAGCATGCCTTTGCTGATCTATATTTTCTAGTAGCAAGGTTCCTAATTAAACAGTTACTTTATTCCCCAGAAAAATATTTCAGCATGATTCCAGCATGTCATTATACATTATACAGCATGAGCCCTGTAGAAACTGGGTTCAAAAATGCAGAAGAGAGGGAAGGCAGATATTACATGAAAAGGAATGTGCAATATAAATGTATAAACTTCCTAAAAAGAGCCTTTAGCATGTGATAATTAAGAAGTAGATAAATTGAAGATTGCACAGAACCTGTTTTATGTGCATGAAGTGTAATGGTTTTAACTGTGGAACTGTGTATCCTTTCTTTAAGAAGAGTTTTGCTTGCCTCACTGCTCAACAGTGACTTGTGTTCACTGAATGAATTGCAACTCCTTGATATATTCTGTGGTGGTGGTGGTGTTTTTTAGAGGGTATGTGCTAGCTTGTTGGTTTAGTGGTTTTCATTCRGTGCCTGGACTTTGGCCTCACAACAACCTACATTATCCAGGTTTGCTCTGAATCTTGTTTTTTCTTGGGGATTTACCAATATACTACCAGGATGCTTCAGAACATGATCATTTTTTATCTTTTTTGTTCCCTTCTATAATGAAGTGGTGATTAAAATCTCCCTTTAACATATGAACAGGCATAGAGATCAAGACCAAAAGGAACATAAGTACTTTTCCTGTAGTTCACGTTTTATTTTCTATGCAACTGAAAATGTGTAGTCCTTTTTTTCTGGCATCAACCATTTAAAATTTAAGATTATAGGGTTGAAAAATTTACATCCAAGTGATCACCCTGATGACTTTAAATCAAATGGCTTGCTTAGTGTCACCTAAGAACTTAGATGCAAGAATAAAATCCAGTAGTGCAAGGTGCCCTTCAAGTGTCATTACAGGAAATAGTGCCATGTTATTCATGTAAACTGAAAAGAAGGTCTTGAAATGGAATATGCTTAACCTTTCTCTGTTAGCTTTTGAACAACCAGAACTGTCTCTAATTGAAGTTGCTTTAGTACAGTCTTGGACATTTTGAAATTRGAAGAACTACTGAACAGATGAGAAAAAACTATATACAAAGGAGGAAAGTATTGTAAAGAAATTGTATCTTGGAAAAAAAGTTACTGTCAGGGAAAGTTAAGTGTTTCAAAAGATAAATGTTGTATCATTCATTACATAGAGTACATATAATTATGATACCAAGGAGAAAAGATGATAAAAGAGCAAATCATGTAAAGCTAAAGGATTGGTCTTACATTGTCCTAGCTGGTAGATGATGTTTTTTGGCCAACTTTAGATACTTTGAGAAGAGATTGTGTGACTTAATAGCTCAGAAATTTAGAGTGGACTATAATAGTAACATCTCTTATGAATACTTTTTCTTTAAGACTTAAAAAAAAAATTTGCTTTTTCACATACTAACTTTATGGACCCTTGCATGAACATGGGTTTGAAGATTTGACAGGTCTAAGGCAGCCACCTTGACTGGTTTCTTGTCTCGGTAGTTGTCATATGTAGAAAATAACAGGGCTTTTAGTATTTTAAAACTGCTTACAGTGGAATAGAATATGTGGAATAGAGCAGTGGAACAGTTTRGAGAACAGGATTGTGTGTATGTTTTGTAGATTTTTTACTCCAAAATCAACTGGGCTAAAAAAGGCATTAACTGAGAACCAGTGGCCACCTAGGGCTATGGAAGCTACTTGGAAACTATCAGTATTTAAAGCTTAATAGAGTATATTCTCAAACTCATTTTAAGTGCCTAAAGTTGACTGCTAAATTTACTGTCCACTGTGTGGTTGTGGACATCGAGTTTGATGTTAGCCTGTTTCTACACTTTAAAATATGTAAATATAATTGTTTTATGGTGAATCAGTAAAGAGCCGTGTCAAAGGTAATTTCAGTTCTACCTTTTTCTGATTTTTTTTGTTAATTCAGTATCACATATGCACAACAGTGCTTTACAACTGCAGAATTCTATGTTAAATACAAAGAAAACCACTTGAGTTACACAGCTGAAAAAAGACCTCTTCTGTGAAGAAACATTTATCAATATATTAGATGAAATAGGCACAAGCCCCTAAAAATGAAAAGGGAACCTGATTCTGTAGACTTTTATTTAGATTTTATTTGCATTTGTAGACGGATYGTATCTGTTGAAACTGTAATTTGTAATTTCAGGTGGCAGAGTTATTCGAAGAGTTAAAACAGCGAGTCAGTGTATTTAACATGCATATTACTACTCAACCCTCTCCYATGGATCAGGAGTATGTGTACAAACAACGCTTCATTTTGCAGGTAATTCTTTAACTCACTTTTCAGGGGAGAAAAATTATTTAACGAGTTTATAACTTCTTACGTTCTAGTATTAATGAATTACTGTTACCTCCTGTTTTCAATATTCCCCATAGATTTTGATTTTAAAAGGTACTATTTCTTACTGTAACTTATTGTTGAATTTCCAAAGTAAATTCACTTCCTATTTGGACTGAGCAGTGTTTTTAGGATCTGAATCATTAAATATTGTAAGACAGAATGTGAAAACTGTTCAAGTCTCATGTTTCATATAGCTRTTTTGTTTGAATTAGTTAAAAATTGAGACTCCTTTGAGCTTGAGACTCCTGAACTCCTTGAGACAAAGTGCTAAAGCCCAAGTTAGTGTTTATAGATTCATAGCCCTTGTCTTTGTACAGAAACATGAAAATGTTGCAGAATTGTTGCAGAAGATCAACTCTTACAAAAGTGTGTTTTTAAGAGTAGGATTAGTGTGAGTTAACCTTTAGTGGGAAATTACCYTCTTTCCTGGAAAGAGGGAAAACTCGCATACATGTGAAGACATGTATGTGATGAAGTGTAATATCACTTGCTATTGTAAGTATATTTCTTTTTGAGAAACTGGATATAACATGCTATATTTCACAAAATATTTTTTACTTCAGGTTGTAATAGCTGGTGCTTTCTATCCGAACTATTTCACTTTTGGAGTATGTGATCAAGAAATTGCTGTGAAAGAGCTTGATGGCAGAGATCCAAAAACCACTATAATGGTATGTTGACATTATTAACCTAAATAACTTTATTAAGTTATCAGTGTCCTTCAACATGGAATGCTGAGCCAGAGAACAGTTGCTTCTCTGGACCTACCAGTTGTGCTGTGCTGCTTGTGCTACAGCCCAGGATGTTGTTAGCTGCCAGGAYGTGCTCTTGCCTTACAGTTACTTTACTGTCCACCATGAGCCCCCAGGTCTTTGCAGCAGAGAAGTTACCAAGTCAAACCCCACTATATAGGCTATTAAATTTCATGAGACTTGTTACACCATTCCTATAGCCTATGCACGTCCTTCTAAGTTACAGCTCTATTCTCTATSAGGTTCTCCCACCAATTAGTCATCATCCATAAACTCCATGAGGGAGTGTTCTGTCTTCTCCTTAAGATCTCTAATAAACATTTTTAGGCAGCATAGGTGCTAGGGCAGGGTCCTGTAGCACCTCACCTGTAGCCAGGCTTGAGCCCAATGGTCAAACCAGGTCTACGTGCAACTTGGAGCATTCCCATCCCAACTTGGATACAATGATACTGTGGGGGACTGGAAAAGGGTAGTGTGAATTTTTTAGGTACTGGAGTGAGGCTGACTAGTCTGTATTTCCCTGGCTCACCCTTTCCCTTTTTAAACCTAGGTATAGTGTGTATGGTACTAGGTCCTAGTGTATGCAGCCTACTTGACCCCTTGGACTTTATGGGTTGAATTTTCTCAAGAAATCCCCGCTTTCATCCTGAAGGAAGAATCTAATATTTTAATTTCACTAATGCAATAAAATTAGCTATATCTAAATTTTAATTTATTTTTCTTAACAGTTGAGGAATATTCCTCCCTATGGATTTCTATACCATAAACAGTTGCAGTCACTTTTCAGACAATGTGGGCAGGTAAAATCTATTGCATATGATGGTCCAAAGTAAGTACAAAATATTTTGGGTGTTACACTTTTTTCATGCTCTCAGTTATGAGCCCAGTAATCAGCTTATTTCTTGGTCACTGTTGTGTTAGCGAACATGAATTTATTTCTTACGATTTAATCTGCTTGAAAATGGTAATTTATTTTTAATRTATTGGCCAGAATAAGAGAGGTAGCCTTGAGGCATAATACGCGAAGCAGAGTAACCCAGTAGCATTAGATAAATGAGCTCAGTGAGAGGCTGCTTTCTGTTTTCTCCCTTTTGGTTGTGTAATAGTGGCCCTTAAAACTGCAGCTGATCTGTCTGTACATGTTTCTAATATACAGCAAATCCTGCTCATTTGTACCAAATCAAGTGGCTTTGCACAAAATATATGTGACTGGCTGCTTTAGCAGAYTTGCTGGCTGACTCTGGGCTACAACTGTCTAAAGCTGGAAAGCAACATAAAGCCTTTTTATATGCCTCTTCCAACCTGAGTACCTTTCTTATGTATTTATGCCACCTTATTTCTACTCTTACTAGATTTATTCAGCTATGTTGTGAGAATGCTAGAGAAAATTCTTAACTGTAATTAAAAATGTTTTAAGGCATTTAAGTAGGCAAGGCCTGTTAGGTAGATACTCAGAGTTCCCTAGGTTGTTGAGATAAAGACGAGGAGAAGAAATGATGGTGATTTGGGTTTTGTTTCTTCCTCAAGGAACTTTGCAACTTCATTTTGTGGGCTTTTTGAAACAGGGCTTTTGTGGAGTTCTCTCGTAATCCAATGGACACCTTTAAGACTCTTCCTGCAGTGTATATGTCGCTTAAAATGGCCCAGTTGAAAATTCCTCTTGACCTTAATGTTTGTAATCCAAATGAGATTGAGAACCAGGTGGAAGGTGGGGGAGCCGCAAGAGTGAAGTACACAAGGTAACTGTTCTCCKTGGGGACGTGGGTTTGGCTGCAGTCTGGAGTTGAAATAAGGTTTATAGGATTAAGCATTTCCTGGAATTGTTACCAGGGTGGAACCTCTGYGTGAGCAGAACATTTTTGCTGGATCTTCAGGAAAACTAGTAAAGTCATTATTTGAACCCTTTAAAGGCTGTGGAGAAAGGTGCCATGTAGCAAGAAACTTGATTCAGATGCATATCCTGGAAATACCATAAAATACTAGAAATACCATAATTGTCTTAAGTATTTTCTATGGTTACAGGTGTTTCCTTAGAGGGAGCTGAGCGTACGCTGCCTGCATTTAAGTTGCAATCTCATTTCCTTAGAGACATGTGGAATTGTGATATATGTTACAACAATATGCAGTGATTTCCGTTCATGCTAGGGACAATGTAGGAACAAAAGAGAAAAGCAGTGGCATTCAGGGACAATAAAAAGGGATGTTTGGAAATAGTGATCAAGGAGGGCAATATAGCAAGTCCATCTGGTTAGACAATGCCTGTCTTTGCTAGAAATGTCTGACTTGAGGGTTTTGTTGTCTGGAAAATATGCTGTGATTTTCTGCTTTTAGTCATAAATGTAACTGCTGAAACTGTCTTCTGTCTCATTCATGATCAGTTAATAGCCAATTTTAATATTTTAAAGCAGGAAATTGAAAATCATAAGGCAAGACTGAACTGTAAAGGTTAAAGTAATTGTGAATACATCACTTCCATTTGATTACATTTGTTTTTAATAAAGCACGTGTACCAGTTCTAGTCTGCCCCCAAACTGTACAGAAAATCTATACRAAAAATAATTCGTAAAGGATTCAAGAAAGTAGTCACCCAGGCTGCAGGGCTAAACCTGTGTTATCTAGTCTTTGTTAAGTAAAAATATGATATTCAAGAAGAGGAYATGCTGCATTTATTTTTCTGCTGCTGTGTGTTCAGTTTATTTTCAGAAAATAATCTTAAGCATTCCAAAAACTGAAACTTATAGTATAGCCTTGATTTTGGTTGCTTAATAAATTAATAGAATAATTACTCCTCAGTGTAAATATGCCTGTGTTCAGCCACCATGGGCATGCTCATTTCTCCGTAGTATATTGGTTTTGTATAGCCATTTTCCAGTTTAATTAGCGTTATTTCTTTTAAGACAAAGGCCATTAAGTACCTAAATGAATATCAAGGCTATGTTTTTTTCCTTTCAAAATATGCATGGCATAATTCTTCTCAGTAAGTTGATTTTTTTTTCCACTGCACACCCTTCTGTACTAAAGGCATATGAGAAGCAGGTAGAGAGCAAAATATGAACTCTGCATCAGCAATTTAGAATTTTTCTTTGTTAATACGCAGGGATTACATGSGAATAACTGAATGCAGTTAAGAAAATACAGTGCACATGTATTTATTTATTTCATTAATTTTTCAGAGTAAATGTGGACTATCAGAAGCAGACAGTAGAGCCCGTGGCAATATTTGGTATTTCAGAGATGTCAAAGATGATCCCCAGTCGTCTTCTATCCATCAACGTAACAGAGGTAGGAGCACTCTATACCTAGCTGTATTTGCACAGATGAGTATTCGGCAAGTGCCAACAATGGATATTAATAATTCACTTAGCACAGAGATATTCAGAAAACATCTGAAGAATGTTCTTAGTCTAATTCTTAATATTTTTGTGCTAAACACTCCTGACGGTGTATATGTTAGTATACACTGCATACGTTTCTTGCCTAAGTTTCTGAAATTTGTTTGCACTTTTAAAACCGCTAAAAAATTATGTTAGGTTCTTTGGCAGAAAATATTACTTGGAAATAGGGTTATATGTCAAGAGACTAATGACAGTGATCAAAATATTTGTGTATACTGTAGAAATCAATATAAGTACATATTTGGGCCGTTTACCTAGCAATTATAAATGGCAGTTTTCTTTTGAAGCTGCAGATGGGAGAAATTAGATGAATTCACTGTATTGCATRCTCATTTAGTAAAAACTATTGCATGTGTTAAAGGTGGTACCTGGGGATGAAAAAATATGATGTCTTAGTGATATAAAACACAGCAGCTGTGATAGGAAGCCTCCCATTCTGAGGAGATGTAAAATCAAGCAGCAGTTTGCATCTTTTGCAGTGCAGGAAATTCAAACTGAAGCATCGTTTGCATTTCATATCTATTTTAATACTTGATTTGCGCAGAACTTGGAATTTGTATTCCACTACCTCTTGCAGTAGTAAACACAACTCTGACTTGTACTTAAGTAACGTAAAATCTGTCTTTCTGGGTTAATGTCAAATGTATGTTTTGGGTTTCTCCAGTTCATTGGCTGTTGAACAGTTTTGACACCTTTGTGTGACAAAATAATCCAACTCTTTTACAGTGGTGGGAAAGCTGGAGGCAGGTGTTGGCAGGAGAACAGACAGAGTAGGTCAGTCAAATACTGAGTTAATAGAAGAAATGAAGCAGCAACTTTAGCAGTGTTTCAAGTGACTCTGTGTTATCAGGAAGGCCAGAGAAAGGGGGCCTGAAGAAATGATTGAAAGGAAGGCTCTATTAATTGTAGTTTTGGTTTTCTATACGGGGAGAAAAATAATACACATTTTAAGTCATACCAGCTCTTGACAGTAGTGGCATGTTTTGCAAGTGCAGAAAGAATGTTTTCTTCAGTTTATCCAGTTATTATAGGAAAAATGCTGATGGATTTGACAACCATTACGGTATGATCATCCCTGGTCAGTCATAGTGCCAATTTGCTGCTAATTGTAGCTGGGTGTTAAGCCTGGTTGCTTTTACTAGYTAAAAGGGCTTGTTGTGTCTGTATGTGCCCATGTAATGAATGACATACCTCATACCTTATTTTTATTGAGTTGATTTTCTTGTTTTTTAAAGTAGTTGTCTTTTAATGCATTAAAACYCTATTATTTGATAAAGAGCAACCTTCTAAGAGAGAAATGCTTCTCTGCATTTTTCTTGCAGTGTGAGAGCACTTCTGTATGCGTGTCAGAAGTAGGAATGTTTTCATGTATTTTGCTCAAAATAATTATATTTGAGGTATAAGAAAATAGTAAATGAARGAGTTCTGAAACTGTAATTTTTATGGCTTCTAGATTGTGGAAGTTGGACACTTCTGGGGTTACAGGATAGACGAAAAAAATATGACTGTGCTGCAAACTCTAACTACTGAAATTAACCACCAGAGCCTGATGGATTTGCCAGTGTCTCCACATCCAGAGTTGGTTTGCCTGGCCCCATTCCCTTGTTTGGATAATAAAGGCTACTACCGAGCTCGTATTCTGTATGTTTCTGGAGATTTTGCTGAGGTACAGTAATATGTTATGTCATTTTGAATCGGTGAGATGAAATTGGGTTAACAATCCTGTAGCTATGCATTTTAACAAACTACTGTTCTCATGACAACTGTAAACACTTCAAGGAAGAAATTTCAGGAATCCATAAAGCCAGAACTAAAATAAAACCTTAATAAAACATTGCCAGAATAGATTAATTAGTCTTTTTTCAAGACCACAGGAATAATTTTATGTTAAATTAAGAGCAGTTGTTGATACGGTAGGGAATGTACTAAAACAGAGGGAAGCAAAATAAAGATGAAAGCATCCAGGAATTTTGAAAACATGGTAAAGATTGCCTGGATAAGAATCCAATGCTGTATTTTTGGCAAGCTTACATAATTTTTATCATAAATACCTCAAGTTCTATCTTAAATCTAAGTTTCTTGCTGCCACTCCATTTGGAATCCTTCCTCTTATATTCAGCTRTTAGGTCCAATGTGTATTTATTTGTTGTTGTGGCAATGTTTCCCTCCACAGTCTGCCTAAACTTTCTTCTCTTCCCCTCAATTTCTTATGTAGCTTTTTATTCCYGGGCTTTGTTTTGCTAGTTGAAGCAAACTGCGCTTCTTGTCATCTGCTACCTCGCTGCTTCCCCCTTCTCTTGATCATCTCGGTCCTTCTCATCTGTTTAATGATAGTCCTAGTCCTGAGCTCGCTTGTCTGGAACATGGTTGACTAATTGACCAGCTCTTGCAGCTGTTCAACCTTTGAGCAATGGTAATAGGTCTGCTGTTCCAACACTGTATTTCTTCTGTACCATCAGAAGCATTTTCTGTGATRCATGCTGAGATGTATTTGCCCTTTGATAAGCTCGCTTATGTGAGCTGCCTCTTTTTACACTATGCTCAGCGAATACCCTATGAGTAATTCCTAGTTAATCGTACTGTAGAAGTAATCGTATACTACTGATAGCAAAAATTGTTGTAAAATCCGATAGATACAATAGAATCTATTTTCCCTATTTTTCAGTGTAATTTTTTTTAACATAGATAAGTTCTGCATCATCAGCTGATTTCATCAGTACGATTTTGTTCTTTGTGCCAAGGTCAATAATAGAAATTATTGCAGCAGTTTAAGATAGACCTTACTTTCCCAGGTCAATCCTGTTCTTAACATGTACATGCCCTGTCGCTCTTACTTGAGGCAAAGAAGGACCTTTGCACAGTTCTTTCTTCCTTTGAGTTTCTCAAATTCTTAATATATCACCACAAATTAGCAACTTGATATCTGTTTACAGTCATATAAAACTAGCAAAGAACTGCCAATCTCACCATTTTTCCCTTTGCATTTATATACACTCACCCAATCCATGGTAACTCTTTACTTAAGTWAAGCCAGTCATTGGGTGGTATCATTCAATGTTCAGAGATTATACAGATCTAATTGCAAGGGCAGAATTATGGCCTTTTAGTGAAGTTTTTTGTAGATCTAGCAAATTATTTACATAACTGATAGATGTTGTAGCCAAGGGATCAAATAATAGACATAATAAAATGTAACCTACTATTTTGGACATATCTTTTGCATATTATTCAGATTATGAATTTGCTTTACATGATAGGATTTTTTTGTACTGTTGTTGTTGAACTCGTTGTTTCCCTTGCCTGCTGAACATAGCTGCTCCCCTTTTCTCCAGGTTTTCTTTGTGGATTATGGCAATAGATCGAGAGTGCCTTTAAAAAATTTAAAAGCTATTCCAAGCCATCTTCGAGAGCTTCCTTTCCAGGTAAGGATGGTGCTTTTTGCCACTACTAAATATCCCAGTGTCCTATCTGGCAAATAGAAGCATAGTTCAAATCACAGTGCTTTTTCAGAATAATAATGAGCTGACTTGTGTTTTGCTTATTGGTGTACCTACAAATTAGTCCCTACTAAATATGCCATCTGTTTAATTGTACCTCTTGCTGCATGAAAATGTTTTACATAGAGTGCAGAGAAATGTTATCTTGCTTTTCATTTTTGGGGATATTTGCCTTAGCAAAAAAGCTTGAACTTGCAACCTGATGAGATGTTAAAAATATTGGAACTAGTCCTGGTCCTTTGGGAATAAGGTAGTGGTCTGTCTTCCATGTGTAATCAAAGGAGCACCAGAAAGAGCAAGAAATCACTCTGCCAACTACCCCTGCTTTTTGTTGCTTTCAGCCTTCTGYTGCTTTGCTCAGGAAAAACAGGCTGAGCGGTAGATGAGCTTTGTTTTATTCTAAAACTCCAAGCAAACAGCAGGTTMATTTATACAGCCCTAAGGGAAGCAGAATTGGTATCTAGTTTAAGCCATTACGCTCAGCTTAATTCTAGCTGTTCCCAGCAAGGTGAGCAGCAGTTTAGCATCTTTTTAYCTACATGGCCCAAGTCTTTGGTGGCAGTTTTCTTGTGTCTAGTCCATGTGCAGAGCATTTTTGCTCAGTCAAGGCCTCTACTCCCCTATACTATTATTTATAGGGGTAAATACCTAGGAGACAACTTGCTCCATTTACATGGAATGTAAATGGATTGGAAGAGGGAATCTTCTCTGTGAAAATTTGCGTTTGGTTTGTGGTGCTTGGCTATTTTTTGAAATAATAGATTCACTTTGATTCTTCCAGGAAGAACTCTCTTGAATGTTAAATGTTGATGTGTTAGCTCATCATAGTATGGTTCTATTCCATAGCTACTTTAAAAAAAAAAAAATTACCTTGAGCTTTATTTACAAATAAAAGAATGAGACTTATTTTAACTGAAATTGCAGTTGTCTGGGTGTTTCTGGATGTGTCTGGGTGTTTCTGGATGTGTCTGGGTGTTTCTGGATGTGTCTNTGTCTGGGTGTTTCTGGATGTGTCTGGGTGTTTCTGGATGTGTCTGGGTGTTTCTGGATGTGTCTACAGAGAACTGCAGTTTATAATGTTTTAACAGGGAGAAAATCTCTAGACTCATAAGACTTTAGTGTTGATGGTGAATTAATATGTCTGTGAAATGTTAGCTTTTGTGCACTGTTTGCTCAGGTTGCATGTCAACTATGAGCAATATTGAATKGACAGGCTGAGATGTAACACAGTAATGTATAGCCATGCAGTCAGTGACAGAAGAGTAATTACGCCAGTAGTATGAGGAATTAGTATAAGCCATTGCAATAATTATGAAGTAATTATTACAGTTACTAATTCAAATAATTTCTTGAGGAAAAGTAAAGYTTTTTGACAGCTTGGTACTGAAGCAAGCATTATTTTTATGTCTTTGCTCTAGGCTTTAGAGTTCAAGATGTGCAAGATGCGTCCATCTGCAAAATCCCTTGTGTGTGGGGAGCAGTGGAGTTACAGTGCTAGCCAGAGGTTCGCCTCACTAGTAAATGGCTATACCCTTCTAGTGAAGGTGTACTCCCTTGTCCATAGTGTTCTGCACGTGGATGTTTTCCGTTATTTGGGGAGCAAAGAGCTTGTGAATATTCGAGATGTGCTTATTGAAGAATGTTACGCTGAACAAGCAGAGGAATCATATGAATCCCAAGTATGTATTCAATAAACTTCTCTCTGATTCTGTTTCTGTGCTGATTTATTTCAAGCCTTACTTTTGAAGGCCTTATAGGGCTTGCCCTAAGTTCCAAGCTGCATATCCCAAGTCTGGGGACCATGCCAGGTTGGATTAGGCAAGAGTAATACTTGAATGATACTATATATTTTTAAGTGGGTGCATATTTCATATGGAGTTCTTAGCCGAAGGTATTACTTTTTTGAGATGCTTTGAGAGGTGTTTCCCAGGAGGTCATTGAATCACCAGAACTGTTTCACTATTTTATATAATCCAAAAGGTGGTAAGAACATTGTTTTATATTCATATGCAAGTGTGCATATTCTTTCTCTAAAACCTTATAAAGTTTTCAAAAACATAACTCTTCTATGGTTTAAACTCTCTTCCATTTTTATGTAGCAAAGCCATGATTTGCTCAAGGCATTACTTTCGGACCAAATGAAAAAAGAAGCGAAAAAACCTGTATCTTCAAGAGAAGAGGAAAAGCATGTCATTGAAATGCTGTTAAACAAGTTTTCTGTCAATAAATTTGATACACCGACCCATAAGGTAGCTTGAGGTGTTGTTTTCTATGCCCTTATGTGATGTTATGTGTTAGAATGGTAATCAAGACTGAAGGTACTTTGACTGATTCATGTTGATGTATTTCATGTTGGAGAACATTCTTTTGGTATATAGTCCTGTGACCATCGTTCACTAATCAGYCACACTTCTCAACAACGTCTTGAAGATACAGCTGGAGAGCCAACTGGGTCTACTCTTCTAGCATGTTTAGAAAAAAATTCTACACAGAAAGAGTAGTCAAGAATTGGAATAGGCTGCCCAAGGAAGTAATGAAGTCACCATCCCTGACAGTGTTCAACATTTAGTTAAGACATATAAGGACATGTTTTAGCAGGCATAGTGGTGATAGGCTTATTGTCAGACTTGATGATCTTGAAGGTCTTTKCCAAAGTAATGATTGCATGGCAGATTTTCCTGCCATTACAAAATGAAGATATAATATCTTCATTTCAGAATAAACTGAAGACGCTACTTTAAAAGATTGACTTCYTCATTTTATAAACTGCAATAATCTTGCAACAAAAAGCAGTATTATAATCTTACCTTTTTCCTTTAATGATCAATATGATCATTATTTTTACAGTATGACGTTTTTGGTTCTCCATCAGCTAGGTGGCACTGRAGAGGTGATCGGACCTGCAGTACTTGATAATAATGAGACAATGGATGTTTCTTTTACTGCAAGGTCAAGCTTCTAGAATTTGTTACTACATATGTATATTGAGACATCTACACATAGTCACTGCTAAGTAGTAGTATGAAGTATGAAAATACATTCTACTCTGTTTACAAGTTGAGCCCAGTACACATTATAACTCCTCTGCATTTCAAACCTCCCAACATTTCAGGCTTCAAGCAACTAATCATGCTTCATTTCCCATTAGAAATTCCCATCTTGTTCAAGTGCTTCCTTACATAAATTGAGCAATTTTCAAGATTAAAGAAAGCTTATGTAAATTAAAAAAAAAAAAAAAAGTTGTTGGATGCTTTGTACAGTCTAAGATGGTCTTTAAACCAGTGAGAAGTCTTTAATTTCAGCACCTGTAAAAATACACTTTTCTCTTTTGGTGCCTCCATTTCAAGTTTGCTTTCAATGCTAGAAAATGTTGCCTTTTGATCTGTTTGGTGGTGCTGTAGACATACAAGTCCATGAAAATAGATTTTGTTTACAAAACTTGCCATTGATAAAGGATTTTGATTAGGAGACATCTAGATGTTCGTTAACGTTTCATTTGTTCTCTCTTGTTTTGGAAGGTATCTCTTCATGGACCATTCAGTCCTTATGAGGTAAAATGCTTCAGTATGACTAGAATATCCCAATTCAGGTATGATGCAGTGTTTACTCTGAAGTCTGTAAATACTGTTAGCTGGGGTTGTTTCTTAATAAATTCTTTCTTTTCTTTACACTAGCTACAAAAAAGTAAGACGACCAGATTCATTTAATGTTTTACACAGATGTTCTTTATTAACCATAATACACAACTTTTAACTGGGTTTCAGATAATCAGCTATTATCCATTCAGGTGTCATTTTAAGTTCAAAAAGATGATTTTTTACAACATTGGTGTGTGTATTTTGTTTCTGTTTTTTTGTTTGTTTGTTTTAATGTGGAAAATGCTTGTTACTTCTTCCCCCAGATGTGCTTTCATACGAAAAGAAAGTATAAACTCTGTTGTTGTCAGAGATGCTCCAGAAGATTCGTTTCAGCAAATGCTGGTTGCTGCTTCTTTATCAGTAAATGCAACTGGTAATGATTGATGAAAATGCATTTGGAGGGTTTTTTTCTAAACTTGGTCTTTTGGGGTCTGTGTGGGTTTTTTGGTGGTTTTTTATTTTTCCTTTTCTGCTTCCTTTTGTTTTCTTCTCCAAAGGAATACTTAYTGAGTAAGTATGTCTCTATAATTCCATTTATTAAATCTTTTGATATCTTCTTTAGATATTGTTTAATGCTTTTGTTCTGTTTTGTGGTGACAGGATCCTCTCTGATTTTAGAGGAAACATCTTTGATGCCTCCTATTCCTGGTCTACCAGCACTCCTCAGTATGTTATTTGCACCTGCTATAGAACTCAGGTATTCATTCATTTTTCGAAATAATGGCTTATTTTTAATTCTTCTTAGGACCTTAGCAAATTGGTAACAGCCTCTTTTTGCTCTGTTTTTTTACAGTTTATCATGGGATTTTGGTTTGAGGGTGTCATGTGTGTGGATTTTTTGTTTGTTTTTGCTTATTTATTACTACCCATATAATTCTGTTTTTTAACGGTTTTAGTATAGTATGTTAAGATAAGTTGTTTCATATGCTTATGAATTGGCACAGAAGGCTTTGACCTCATGACAAGGTAATACAATTTCTAACAGCTCTACTTGAAGTCTATGAGGATGAATTGTAGAAATCGGCAGATTTCAAATACCCACAAGAAAGAAGGGGACTTKTATGTTTTTATAAAAGTTGGGGGTTTTATTTGGTTCACTGTTGTGTTTTGCTTARGTTCTCACAGAGGGGCTGACAATGTAAATTTAAAAGCTGTTCTTAAGTTCCATTTTGTATATGCTTTTTAAAAGTTTCATAACTGTGTGTTTTCATAGTAAATACGTTAAGATTGTTTCAACATATTTACAATAAGCGCAGTATAATTGGATGCACAGGTCTCAATTGTTTTAGCCTCCTTAAAAGTACTTTGGTATGGTTAAGACACCTTCATGTAAATCTGTCTTCATGTTAACTGAGCTTCACAAGAAAGGATTGTTTTCTTATTGTCTGGTATAGGGTTGATAAGAGTGGAAAGTATTTCACTGGTGTCCTGTGTGGTTTGGGCTGGAGTCATATTCATGGAATTCCGCTGCTTCCAGAAAATGATATGGAGCTGACATTCGATGTCCATTTTGGTATGGAAGACATAGCAGAGGTAAATCATGCGTACGAATTTTTACTGTAGTAGGAATTAAGTAGAAAGTAGTATATCAGAGATTGTTAACTTTGAGTTGTTAACTTTGAGTTGTATGTTTCTGTAGCATAACTACATTTTGATAACCTTGGACTTGTATCAGGAAAAAAAAAAGCCGAAAAACGCCTCCACCCCCGAAAAACTCCAAGCTGGGCTCATTACATTTTGTTGAACAAAATTAAATACAGAATATACAGATATACATTATACAATACTCAGCAAGCTTTTCAGAAAAGCATCCATTCTGCACTAATCAAATATCAGTGCTTTTTAATTATATTTTTAGGATTTTTCTATTCTTTACAAATCAGTCTAGTATTACTGCTTTGTAGTCTTCTATAAAATCAGATGTAAAATCAATATGAGAATATTGTCAAGAAGTTGTCTGCATAAACCTCCATTTCCAAAGCTTCAGATGCTTTTGCTTAAGTGACTAACAGTTGAAGGTTGGTTGTCTTGATGCCATAGCAGCTTTCTATACACATGAGAATAATCTAATGCAGATCTAAGTCTGGATTAGAGCATGTCGTGCATTTTGTCACATGTTTTTACAGATAAACATTCTAAGGACARCCATTAATCAGCTGGTCAGTGAATGTGCAGTGTGCCCGGAACAAAGCAGAATGGTGCGGCTCCAAGAAGATGCTCGACAGAAACTTTTAAGGTAATGGTGTTGTAGACAAGAGATCTTGCATTTCAGTCTCAGCAAAACCAAAATACATAATTAYTCAAAGCATAGCTCAGATCAGGCTTTGGGAAATTATAATATAGTTTCTTTAATGTTACGTTTCATTTACTTTGCTTGCTTACAAAGTAGTGCACACAGGAGCTTTAGATTTCTTGTGGCACTAGTTGTACAGGGAAGCCTGATTGTTTAATAGTCATAAAGCCTAGACAGTGGAACCTGTTCTACCAGGCACCAGTTTTTGCTACCATTTGAATTGTAGGTTCTGCCTTTCCTCCCTCAGCAAACCTGTTTAATAGAGGTGTTGACCACATTAGTAGCTGGAAGTCCAAAGTTAATGGATAAACTGAAGTAAGGCCTCTTTCCTCTTTTCCAATAGACCTGCCTGATTCTCACAACTGAGATGGTGGCTCTGAAGGAAGCTGATCATGGATCAGTGCAGCTAGTTTTAAGAGTTTTTTCAGCTTGCAATGCAAAAGAGGTGTTCCAGGAAGCCCACTCAGTGAAGTGGTCCTGTAACACTTCCTCCCATCCAGTGGCAGTTGAGCACATTGTGAAAAATCTTCCCTTGTTTATAAGCATAACAGGGCATTTTAGTGTTGCCTCTTATCATCAGATGACCCTTCTTACCCTTAATTGAGTCTGTGTCAAACAGACTTCATGAAGAGCTCTGACTTGGGCATGAGTTGGGAAGAGCTTTCTCTGATTGTATACAGCTACATGCCAAAGATTGGTAGTTGCTTACACTGAAARATGAAATGACAAGGACATAAACCATTGTCAGAAATCTTGGGGACACCTTGAATATGTTGGCTCACCAGCTGCTGTGTTGAATGTACAAAGGAACGAGTTTTATGGGAAGTGCTAATTTTGYGGGGGGTGAGAGGTTGTCTGCGTGTGCTGCTGTCAGCGAGGAGAGCCAGGCAGTCAGCTGTTCTTTTGTTGCTGGGTTCCTATTTTGTCACCAAATAAACAAAAGAAGAACATGTAACTCATTTTGAAATGTCATGCAGTGTTTACAAACTGCAAGTTCAGTGAATCGGAATCTAAAAGGCTTTTTTTTTTTTATTTTTTTAACACTAATTTCTTTTGATTAAATTTCTGTCGGCAAGGGGAAGGGAGGGACTTACAGCTAGGGTCCCCCATCTCCCCACACAGATACTTCAGATGATGCCTTTCTTATATTTATTCTGGATGTATTTCCCTTAAATCCCAAAGCTAGTCAGTTTTGATTCTTTTCATTTTATTTATTTATTTTTGGAAGAGACCATCTGGTTAGTGTCATGATGCATTTTTTCTGTGTGGAAAATCTTCTTTCATTTTAAAAATATTATTTCTGTTTGTACCTTAATGTCCTGAAAAAATCTTTTATTAATAAGGGTAAATGTATAAAATATTTAGCCTGAACAATCTTTCCAGCTTCTTTTCCCATTTTTTAAAGCTAATTGTATTTACAACATGTCACCACTACTTAAGACTAAAACGTATATATGAAAAACACATCTCGACAGAATTAATTAAAGTGTACGGTTGTACTTTGCATAGCTTGGGGAGATAACTGGGGCATACAGATGATTTGTAGCAACTGAATTGTCATATAAAACTGAATGCCCTAAAAATAACAGTATTGCTTATTCACTGGAATGTACATGCATAAATCTTGCAGAATAAATGATGGTTGCACGTTGCAGTACTTGTTCAATGCAGGAAATCATTATTTTCTTCAAAAATATCAGTTAGCTTTTACAGGGAAGCTAAGTGTATCTACTGACTTGCATTACAGGACAAAAGTAAAAATAGCTTAATGAGGAAACTTAGGATTTAGTCTGTGATAGGCACCTTGTAAGGACTTGAATATATCTAATATATTCATGAATATAATATATGTACAGATATTCCTTTGAATTTATAATTAATTAAATACACATGAATTCCTTAAAGACATTTCTTTGTAATTTCAGTTTAACCTGCAAATCAAAACCACGAGATGCCATTGTTCCCAAGTGGTATGACAGGTCATATGCCTGGAACCAGGTAAGGTAATTAATATACATTAAAAAATGAAAATGAATAATTAAGAATACCCTAGTATGTCTTAGTTAACTTTGGTTAATGATTAAGAAAATAATAATTAAGGGATATCTTTTTTGAGGTTGAAAGACTGGAAGCAGTGTAGAGTAGGATTTAAAACACTTGTGTATGGGTCAGTCTATTAAAATATCTTCTTTTTGCAGAGTCTRTTTGATTTTGCAATGCAAATATGTTGGCTTTTCAAACTGCTGCTTTTAGTTGAGAGACATTGTAGAGGAACCTTTCATTTGTTGTACATTAAATTTTGTATTGGTTCTTCAGTTAAACAGCCTTAGCACTAGAGCAAAGGAAAAGCATTAACTGATGCACTTTCCTTGTTTAGGGCTTTTCTGTATACAGAAACATACTGGCTTTTACTTTGGTTGCTGTGTGTTCAGATGCCTTTACCCTCTTAAGCCTACAGAAAATGTCTTGGTATATATAGAATCAGCGTGGTGGGGTCAGATAGCTATTTTCTTCATCTGGGAGCTTTTCCTGTAACTGAAAAGTGAGTTTTCCACTCTGCTRGAAGACTCTGCTACTTGTTTTCCTTTCTGAAAGGAATTCTGCATGCCACTAGATTTCYTGTGCAGTTATCGTGGCAAACAAGCGCATTTCTTGACTAGAAGAAGGTGAGAGATTGCAGAGGGCAGAAGTAAGATTCTCACCTATAAATGAGGAATTTAGGTCTGTTTTCTAAACTTTGGAAACAGTGAATGAGTACCAAGGGCATATATTTCTAATAGATATTGACAGAGGAGTAGTGTATCCATATATTACCTTAAGCTGAATTGTCGCTTTTTTCACATTTCATATTCAGTTATTCTTGGTGTTGCCAAGATAACTATTTATTTGGTTATATTTTTGTCTAATGTTTGGTAAAAGCAAGTTGATGAATAAATTATGTATAAGGGTTTACCATGTTGTATCCAAAGTTTGAAGAATCTCAGGGCATCTTATTCATGTTATAGTATAAAATAATGCTTCTAATACCTTAGAAGTTATTACCGAATAATATTGTGCCATAGACACATCATGAGCAAGAGCTCTGTTTGATTTGAAACAGTTAGAACTCCTTGAAAGCAATGTAATAAGTATTTTCATTAACTCTATTCTATATTAATGCATTTTTAAGAGTAAATTGTAACTTTGTGATTTTTGTCTTGATTAGGTGGATTCAAAACGTATTATTGACCAATCGGAAAGGCAGCATGAAGGAACAAATGATCTTTACCAGCTCCATAAGCTTGTTGTGTTGAATGTTTAAGTCTTATCTAGAAATATCTCAGACGAATGTGTTGACTTGTCTAAAACTTGGTTCTGTTTTCTGTATAGCATTGAAGGTTGACTCTATAATTATCCATAGAATTAGTGTAGTCATGCAATATATAGGGCAGAATGTTAAAGATATTTTTAAAAATTAAGGTATACTGACCTAGAACAGACAAGCTAATTCATAAAAACAACTYGCTTAAATGATAATTGGACCCTACTTTAAGTTTTTGCTGTGAAGTTGTGAATTGCAGGCAACATGAAAAACAAGTAGATTATGGCATAGTTTTTTATCTAAAAGTTCAAGAGCTAAAGTACAGTCTTTTTTCTTTGATAATTGCAAGATGTATTTTCTATTTGTTTTATTTTTATGGTATCAATATTTGAGAAAGTCACACAGCAAAGATTGCTTTGTATGCAAAAATGAGAGGTTAAGGGTAACTGGCAATCTAGGTTATCAAAAATGTAACTTTATATGCTGGATATAACTGGTTTTTATTCACTTTTGATGCAACAGAACATCATACATGATTCTTCTATATGGCAAAAGAATGCTTCTGAAAATGATTCACTGCATATTTGTTTCATGAGTTCTTTAGTCCTAAAGCTAAGGTCAGTGGTTTCAGAATAAAATACAGCAATGGAAGAAAATGAGTCTGTCTCTTCTGTTGTGCAGTCATGCTTCATAAAAGCTACATTTAGTTCTTAATGGTATGCAGTTGCATTCATGTATTTCATAAATAAGAAAGCAATTTGAGGGAATGTATTGATCTAGTCTCTCCTCGCTCAACTATTTGAAAGTGATATAATGTTTCTTTTTCTGTAGAGAAGACAGAATCAATAAGCAGGGTGGCAAATTTGGGGAAAATAAGGCAATATTTAAGCTAACAAAATGTAATTTTAAGTGGTACTTTAAGTTAAAGAAGGCAACCTTTTTTAGTAGACAATTTCATTGTTTGTTCCATTCTTTATGAGCCTTGCTTCCTCAGACCAATTTGGTAGTACTCATGAATTACTTCATACTTCATGATGAGATGGGTTTACTAGAAATAAATTGTGATTCTTGAGTTGCTCTGACAGTTTTTCATCAAAAGCCTTTCGTACCTACACATTCTTGGGGGCAAAGGAACATCAAAGAGGCAGAATGTCTCCTCTTTGCTATGCTTGTTAGCATTGGGAATTTCTGAAGGAAAAGGCAACTTTGTAATGTCCAAAAGTATTATACAAATAACRTAATTTCTCATGATGAAGTTGAGATTTAGAAAGCATGATGTATTGTACTGTGCTTTCCCCTCACCCCCATCTTGGTGATGTCTGTCTGTCCAAGCGTGTTTGTGTGAGTGTGCTGCCATCTCGTGGGGTTACTCTTCTTTCCCCTTGACCATCTCATTGTATGATTCAATGCTGCCAGTAATGAAAAGGTGCCCTGTAATAATTCATGTAGAAATAAAACAGATATGTTTTTGTGGTTGACCTTAAGAGGAGAGTGAGTTAACCCTAGGTGCTGGTGGGCTATATGAGAGCTGCCTCTCATAAGTTGCCAGAGGAGTGCGAGCTGTTGGTTTTAACTCTTAATTCCCAATATTATATTTGCTAAATAATGAAACTACAAACATGACAGGGGATAGATTGTCCTTAAAGGAAACGGACTAGTCAGCCTTACTAGCAAGTGCAGGGTTGTGCCAACTGAAAATACTACTAATAGTAGTACTAATATATGCTAATAATAACTGTAGTACTAATGGTTAAAAAGTAGCAGTGGTATTTGATTGTTTGTTTCAGGCTTTAACAGCATTGCAAAGTTTCTTAAACAAGATTGAGACTTAGTCCCATGTAGGAGACTGCAGGACTTTTCCTGTTCATGTTTAATAGGAAGCAGCACTGGAGGAAATAGTATAGGAGGATGTTAATGTCTCTTCTGACTAAGGACCTGATTGCAGTCAACTTCATGGCTTTCCAGGAATTGCTTCCATGAGAAAAGGGCCGTGACCACTTAAAAACTTTCCATGTATATCCAAGTGCTTGTCAGCATCTGATAGAATGAGGTATCATTTATCACAACTTGTGGTCATGAACATCATATTTTTCCCGWATTCAAAGTAGAAGTATTCGTTATGTCTATAGAAGGTCAGCTTAAACAGTCTTGCCTCTCTTGGCACCTTCCAATAGCAATGGTACAGTTAAATGGCACAGTGATTAAACCTTCTTGATAGGTCCTTCCCAGAACTCTCATCTGTTATTCCTTCTAATTTTCCATATAGCTACAATGAAATTGGGTAGTGTTTTTGAAAGATTTTTTTCTTTGCACATAATTTACTTCTGAAATTATATGTAAACAGTATCTTAACAAGCTATATGGTAAACTGTGTTCTTCAGGAGGTGTACTTTGTGTTTTATTAACTGTATCAGCTGTTGTTCCAAAGGCACTTGTAGTTGCTAGAAGATTAGAGAAATACTATCTTTGATTCCCGAGTTGATTCCTTTAGAGTATTAGAGAATCATAGTTATTTCATTATAATAATCATAGCAATAATGATCAATGTTTTTTTTTCCCCCAGAGCAGAAGAAGAAAGGAAGCAATTATTTAAAATTTAACATACAGACATGGACATTTCAGTTACTGAGGTGTGAGGTAGGGAATCAAGGACAGATATAGCAGCAGTCCTTAACATGATACCTGCAGCTGGCAAGTTGAGCAGTTTCAAATGAGCTTGGTCCGCCTTGGGAAGTAACAGCAGTGATCACAAGGCAAGCTTAGGATTTTCACAGCATTTCTCTCCCCAGATGGTGTATTAGTAGGGATGAGGGTAGTTTAAATGAGCCATACAGGAGACTGCCGAGATGTAAAGATGCTTCCAAGTAACAGCACGTGTGTTCTGCAGTGAGCATGACTAAAGAAATTAAGATGATGGATGCCAATTTGAAATGATTCCCAAAAAAGACACAGTACTGTTCCTTTGCAGTCTTATGTGACTTTTGAGARGTGCTCTTTTCTATCAGCTGCTTCATGCTTAAGCTACCTAATTCTAAAGCTTGCTTGTGTATTTTATGTAAGTTTTAAGTGTAGACTGTTAACTGGAAAAGGAAGGTAGATGACTGAATTTGAATGGAGATTTTACCTTAGGATCACTTGCTGTGACAGCAGGCTCCATACTGCTTAACCCATGTCAGATTTCAGGATTATTTACACTAATCACCTTGCTTTTGTGCAACTTTACTGTGTCTTGAAGGAGAATTTAGTGAGACAGAGGATGTTGAAACAGCCACAAGAAAAGATGGTCAAAGCTTTTTTTTTAAAAAAAAGGCAAGCCTTGAGAAACTGCAGCAATGCTGTTGTTTTGTTGTTTGCTAACAGAAGATGAAACTTTTTTTTGTCTAAAGTTGAAATACCAGAATTTTTTATGTAATCTTGAAAGCCTGTGGAAAAGGTGAAAAATCACTCACTCTGCAACCAGTGAAGTTCTTTCCTGAAAAGGAAGGAATATTGTGGTAAGAGGCAACCTCCAGTGGCTAGTGAATCTGTAGAAAGATAGCATGCTTTTTTTCTTCAGGCACCTAGCAGAGCCACATGGAGAACTACTTATTTTCTCATCTCTTTTTTTCTCCTAAATTCAATGTTAATTCAACTACCATGTGGTGTTRATTAGCAAATGGAGGTGAGTGGGGCAGGAGCCACCAGGCAGTACCACATGTTTTGCAGAAAGGCCCTTGCCTTCGTGCCTCCTGCAATCACCCTGTACCCCAGAGAAAGGCACTAGGGATGTCTCCTGGCACCCAGGTGGGAACAAGGGGACTGGTGTGCTGATGCCCGTTTCCTTTTGCTCTCTGAAAAGCAGAGAGACTGTTTGCTTCTCCAGAAAAATGCAGTCGTGCCTCTCCGTTGAGGAGTGCACATCTTTCATGCAAAGTTAATGTAGCTCTTCTCACTTCCTTGCCAGAATCCGGAGGCACAGAGTGGGGAAGTTGGTACAAACACGCTGTACACGCTGTTGTATTCCCTATCCCCACCAAATACGGTTCTGCTGTACTCCAGGGAGGGGTGTTTAAATCTTGCTGTCAGTTTTGTTTGCTTGTTTTCATAAATAGAGAATAAAACCTGCATGCAGGGCTAACTTTCTSCCTGGATGCCTGGATGGTAGTGGGTTGTAGTTTTGTACTTGAAGTCTGTTAGTGGTGAAAATSCACATTACATAATGAGCAAGCAAGCAGCAGAGAGGTTTCATATGCATCTTCAGAGTGGGGTTTTTTTTTCTGTCTTTTTAAGGATAGGAAGCCTCTATTTGAAAGGTGAGAATTTGAGTAGGTGAGTAGTTTGGTAGGTGGGATTTGATTAGCATTCTTGATATGGGCAAGACCTGAAACTTTTTCAGAACATGTGTTTCAAGATCACAGGAATAACTGCAGGCAGTTCCTCTGCTTTCTGTATTTTAAAATGATAGATTTCTCATCAGCAAGTTTYATTTGGTATGGATAGCAGTGACCTGCAAATTGGCTGCTGCTGCCCAATTGCAAATTAAGTGGTGAACTGAACAAGCTCTTAAGTTTTAACTGTTCTCTAAAGAGCAGATCATTTTATTTATGAAGTAGAAGATAGGGTGGTAAGAAAAAGACATTAAATGATTGTTCATTTAATGAACATGATGTCTTCTCTCCTTTTAAGGCTAGCCATTGAGGAAAATATAGTCTCTGTATTGATAGAGACTTGGAAATGGATGACAGTACTGTGAAGTGAGGAATATACACAGGGTATATTGGTATCTGTGAGTTTCCAGGGAACACATTGGTGCTTATTTAAGTAACTGAGATTTTTTTCAGAGTTTTGCTAAATGGATACTTTGAACAGAAGTACATAAACGACAGCAAAATTCTACTAGACTATAAAATAATGTTCATATTACTAGTATGTTAATCACAATAGAAAGGGCTTGAATATTTCTGTATGAATGATCACTAGGTAGCAAGCTCAGCTCAGGACTTAGTGTCCTGTTCCTGAATGCATTCACTGATGAGGCTAGGACTGTTTTAATAATGGACATATATTTTTGTCTTGGCTTGAAATCTGAATGTAATAAAACTATATTTTTTAACTTAAATGTTACMGACTTGACCTTTTGTGTCTTTTTTCTGCTTTAGCAATATAGGCTACTAAGATTAGCTGACAACTGCAAATCCAATTATATTTAATTTAGGTTTATTCTAGCATGGTGTTGCATTAATTTTGTATTTGTCCCTTGCTAAGGATTAATRCATAGTCTACTTCAGTTATTTTATGATAAAGCAATAAAACTTTTCAGTTCAGAAGAATTCAAACTTTTAAATTTAGTCTGTGTTTTCTGTCTACAAGTAAATCTACTACAAACTGCTCTGAAATGTAGGGAGATTGTGACCTATAGCAGGCGATATGGCCCTAAGATAGAAAAGAGGTAAAATAGTTTATCATTTTGTTGCTCATCATAGTCTCTCTGGTTATTCTGTATTTAATCCTAGAATATTTACCAATGCTTGATTCTTGTAACATGGCAATAA